GTCCCCATATGCGATTGGATGGGGACAGTGCTGTCACCACCCCGACCTCAGCGCTTTCTCTACTGCAGCAGTTCTGATAGGAGCTGAGACCTCACTCACCAAAAATATCCAAATTCCGCTATCAGCTGCAGCTTGGCTGTAGGTCCTGCTGAGTACCCGGGTTGGATGCTTTCCACTGCTAATTGGAATCACTTTGCTGTCTGTGAGCCTGCCTGCGATGCTCGTTTGCTCCCTTTGTGCTGTGCATTGGGCAGCATCCAGCCGGCGCCGTGCCTCGTTTGTGTGCTCAGCGCCTGGAGCAGCACTGTCAGAACAGAGTTCCTCGAGCACCTGCCTGCTGCAGGGCTGCATGCAGGAGGAGTGCTGTTAAAGAAAATAGTGCAAATCTGTATAATGACTTTTGCCCTTAAAAAAAAAAAAAAAAAGTAAGAATTTTTTTTTTTGGTGCTTCTATCGCTCCAACCCAGCTGGTGCAATTGAGATAATTGAAGCAATTTGAATAATGGAAGCAATTGTGATACTTTGCAGGAGCCTGGAGCTCACATTTGGTGCTGGCAGTGGTGTTGTGCTGTGCTTTGGGGCAGCGGTGACAAAGCTGTGGGGCCAGCAGAGATGGAGACGCTGCATCCTGGGGTCACACTGCTTGTCTCATCCCCTTTGAGATGCATGGTGTCAGAGGTGTCCAGGCTATGTCGTGCCAGCTGGCTGATTTGGGACATTTTTAGGTCCCTGCCTATTTGCCCTCAGTGCTGTTTTGGGTCGAGGGGCTGCAATTTTGTGGTGCCATTAACACTGCTGTACCCATTGGGCATTGTTCCTTCAGCATTTTGTGCCTTCCAGTTGATGCTTGTCTTCTGGGGAATGCACAGAACTTTCTCTTGGCTGCAGCATTGTGCTGGTGTGGGGAGGAGGCTTTAAGGAAAGGAGTTGTAGAGCAGCTGTCAGTCAGCTGCTGGGTCTGGGTTGCAGAACAAAGTGAGATTTTCACTCCTGGCTGTGGCTGTCTGAGCCAGGACACCTTGGGTGATGAGCAGGGTGGTAATTAGGGCTATGGCTGTATAAAAATGGCAGCAGCGTGATTACTGTGTGGAAGCTGAGCTGTTCCTGCCTTGGGGTTATTCCTGGCCTGGGAGAGAGCAGCAGTCTCCTGACTGAAAAACCTTTCAGTTAGAGCCAATAAAGTGAACTCTGTAGCTGTGGCACCTCTGGGTGCTGGAAATGCCACTTTCCTGCCCAAAGCCTTTCCAAGCAGCCCACACATCCCAGCTCCTCCCCGGCACCACGAGGGGGGAACATCTGCTGTGCTTCCATGGGACTGACATCCAACTGGCCCTCCCCCCTTCCCCATTGTTATTTATAGCTTTCCACCAACATCTGGAGCTGTGTTTGGCTCTGGCTGCCTCCAGGGCTGTGGGATGAAGCTGGGTGAAATGTGCGGCTGCAGGCAGCCTCCAGCACTCTGGGTTTACATCTGGGGCTGTCAAGGGGTTTGGGGAGCCCTGCAGCATCCTTTCCCTGTGCTTCCCAAAGCTGAGCAGCAAACCCCTGCTGATAGCAGGGACAGAGAATGAGCGGACCTGGGGATGCTGTGTCCAGGGACTCTGTGCTGTTGTTCCATGTGCTGCAGCCCTGATCCCTTCCTGCTTTGGGTTCTCCCCTTCATGGCATCTCCTGATGCTGGTGCTGCTGCCCGGGGTGAGAGCAAAGCAGGCAAGCAAAGGGGCCATTTTCTGCCCAAAACTGTGTGCAAAAGGAGAGGAAACGCCACGGGAGCTGGCTTGAAAGAAAGTATGTGAGCAATGCAAATTAGGCAGGAGTGATCCTGCCCGTATTTTCTCCAACTCCACTGATGCGGAGGTGGAAAAGCTGGATGTGTTGCAGGGTGATCTGCACTTGGAGGGTATCCAGCTCTTATAGCAGTACTTGGGGATTGGTGTGGTTGCACCAGATAAACAGCAGTGACCCCAAGCTGGGGTAGACATAGGGCTGAGAGTTCGTGCTAGGGCACCCTGGTACTGAGAAGCTCCATAATTTTGTCCTTTTTCCATGAGAGTGATGTGCGTGTGCTCCATCCTCATTCTCCTGTCCAGGACAGCTCTGCATCCACACTGGATCCAGTGCTGTCTTTCTGGAATAACCCCTATAGCATGGCTTTGTAAGGGATTTTAGCCTTAAGTGTTCACCCACAAAGCATGGGTGGCTGGAGAGTGATGCTAGACCAGTGCTCAATTCTGAGCGTCCCAGCAGGGTGAGCCTCATTGCATGAAGACATGAAGGGTTCTGGGAGTTCCATGGGGCAGATGGGTTTTGTTGCAGGGTGGGATGCTGCTCCCACAGCCCCGGTCCAAACTTGGGGATGGCAGTGCCAGAAACCTCAGGTGCTGCAATAAAATAATGAGAACTGGCAACAACCAAAGAGATTATTACTATTTTTTTTTTTAATTTTCCCTTTTTAAGTGTTTCATTGTTACTTAATGTCTTGTTTGTGCCTTTTTAATGGAGCCGGCTTGCACGGCTTCCTTCTGGTATGGCAGTGGTGTGCCTGGAGCTGTGGCACTGCAGCTTTGTGTTGGTGCAGCTCTTATCTGCACGGACACATCCGCGCCAGTGGGTGTGTGCATGGAGCAGCAATGTAGGGCAAATGTGACATTCATGGCTTTTTAATCCCGTGTATGAGATCAGTGGGTGCCGTAGCATCTGGATGCCCCCAAAGATTGCTGATTGCATGCAAGGAGAGAAATACAAAGTCGTTTTTTATTGGTTTTGCAGTGTGTGAGTGCAGCCATGGGGAGGAGCGGAGCGTCTACAGGACTTTGGGATCTGGAAGAGTGTGGTTGGGGTGTCCCAAAGGCAGAACACCCCTGGGAGCTCAGGAAACATCTTCCTAACAGGGAAATGTTGGTATAAGTAGTGAAGAGAATGAATAGCAGAGCTGGCAGGAGGAACAGAGTGCATCGGTGCAGAGAGCTTCATCGTGTGCTTGAGGCTGAGCAGAGGGAACTTGGGTTTGCTCAGTCCCATGGGTTTGTTGGAGCCCCATGGGTTCCAGCAGCTGCAGACAGCCGCAGCTGGGAGCTTTGGGAGCAGTGACAGCACTTGGACAGGTCTTCCTGGGGAGCCTGGAGCTGATGCTGGGGCTGCTATAGGTAAGATTTTGAATCATCTCAGTGGTGGATCTTGGCTTCAGAACATGGTGGTTGGAGCAGAGCGTGCCCATGCAGGGCACAGTGCTGGGTATCCCATAAAGTTGCTGCAGAAGTCCTCTTCCAAGCAGCTTCTGTGCAGTTTATTTTAGGGATGACGCTGGTGGAGCCCAGTGGCACTGTGCTTGTTTGGTGCTTTGGGACTGCTGCTGGAGCCATGACTCCTTTAAAACTGGAATAAAATGGCTCATAAAAGTAATTTCTAAGCCCCGCTAGGTGATTCTGGACGTGTTCCTTTCTGCAGCCTCTGTTCCCAGCGCTTGGAGCCCTGCGCATCCCTTGAGGTCACACCGAACCCGCTCCAGCATTGAATCATTTCCTGTTTTCCTCGGCTGCTGCAGAGCTGGAAGTGTTTGCAGATGGGTTGAACCCACGGTGTGGGGGCATGGGAACGCAGGGCTGAGCCTGCAGTGAGCCCTGAGCACTGCGCACCGTGTGCTGTATGGGGGCTTTTCCTCTGGGGAAAATGTGCGTGGAGGGGTCACTGCTGAGTGGGTGTACAAGGATGAAGGAAGCCCCGGGTGTTTCTTAGGTAGAAGTGCCCAAAGGAGGTCCCCACCCACCTTTACCAGTTGCCTTTAGCTGGGGGATAGGGATGTCTTTTCCAGTGCTTTTTTTTTTTTTTGGCCGAGTTGGGAACAGTGGGGAAAAATTCACATTTTTATTGTTATTTTAAATGAAAGGTTGTAAGAGATCGTCCTACTGATAGATGGATATCTGAGGTCTGATAGCAGGTGGGAGCAGTGTTGCTTTCTATGTGGATTTAAAATGGGAATGTTTTCCTTAAACCACAGACCAAAAAAAAAAAAAAAAAACAACAACAACAAAAAAAAAACCCAAAGGCACTTCTATTTCTGAGCAGCTCCTGCCCAGGACATGGCTGTGCCACTGGGCCTGGTGCACAAGAACAACAGAGGGATAAAACCTGCCGTGTGCTGCTCCCTGTTAGCCCCAAGGAGCCATAAAGCATTTTGCATGTGATAGAGGTGAAGCACCCAAGTCCTCATGTGCTCCACTAATATTTGCAGTGACCTCAACCTGGATGTGCTGTGGGCACCTGGGGCAGCACCGTGTGCAGGGATGGTGCTTCCTCTCTGCAAAAACCCAACTGCTCTGCAAAGACTTCTGCAGGGCTTTCCCACTCTGCCCAGCTCAGTGTTTCCATAGGTTTACTGCTAAGTGGCTGCAGAGGAGCTGTGCTGCGTGGCTCCAGGTGGGCACACAGATGATCCCTCTCTGCACTGAGTGTGCTCAGTACTCCCAGTTATTGGTGGTCATTTTTGAGCTGGTTGCAGGACAGGGCTGCCCATCCCCTGGTGCCCATCCCCACAGTGGCTAAGGATGCAGCTCCAGATCTGGGCATTACCCAGCTTGCTCAGAGCATCCCCCCAGGAAGGGGCCAGTAGCAAGGTGAGGACAAAACCTTGAGTCATGCTGGAGTCACTGGGAGCCAGGCACAGTGCTGCCATCAATCAGTGCTGGGGGTTAAGGTGGTGGTGGGGTGGCAGCCCCTGGGTGGGGTGGGTGGGTCTGGGCTGCTGTTGGCTGAGGAAATGCATTTTTTGTTGTTGTTGTTTCAATTTCTCTGGAATGGTTTTGGACAATCAGTTTTCTAAAATAAACTCAATGAGAGGAAATCCATTTGTTAACCTGTCCCTGTTGAGCTGGAAGGAGGGGATGGTGTGCAGATATGTTGCTTCCTTCTCAACTTAATTCTGATTCGGAACAAAACCAAGCCTATAAATCCAACACAATATCTTATCCTCCCTCCCCCATCCTCTTTCTTTTTTAAATCAGGATTTAAACGGACAGAAAGAGCTGTGTCCACGCCTCTGCCACCTGAAGAAAGGCCCCAGTGGTTATGGCTTCAACCTGCACAGTGAGAAGTCCCGCCCAGGGCAGTTCATCCGCTCGGTTGACCCCGACTCACCAGCATCCAGAGCAGGCCTGCGGCCCCAGGACCGCCTGGTGGAGGTAACTCCACGTGCAGCACGGTGCTTTGAGGACCTTTGGTTGGGTTTTTGGGTCCTACCAACATGGGTCCTCCTGGACATGGAGTGCAGAAGACATGTGATGCTCATCTGGGAAGCGTGATGCTGAATCCAGTCCCATGCCCTTTTCCATCAAATCCATCATGCTGCTGGGCAGGGCAGGAGCTTGGAGCGAGGGAAAGCACTTGGCAGAGAGATCTTAAAGCATAGGATTGTGAAAGATGGGGGGGAAAACTGTTCTTGGAAGCGATTTCATGTCCGCTTAGTGCTGAACAACAGAATTTTTGATGTTGCACAGAATCACCCTCCCCTCGCCTTGTTTGCCTCTTGGTGTTTTTACTGAAGAATGAGTTCCCCCATTCAAAGCAGTACGGACAGATGGACAGACAGCACTTGTTCCCAGCTGGGCGCCACACCGTGCCCCCAGCCTGGCTCTGTCCCAGCACCGTGGCGATTTAATGCTGGGGCTGGGACACCCATGGCTGTGGTTCATAGCAGTGAGGGGTTTTGTTATTTATTTATCATCCCTTGGTCGAGTGCCCAGCACACACAAAGCAGCAAGGGGTGAGCTGGAGAGCTAGGAAACCTGATCCTCCCGCTCAGGCTCTTTGGGGCTCTGATAAATAATTGATGCTCCCAGCCCTGTTGTACCGGTGTTGGGGTGGGAGAGCAGGGGCAGCCCCCTTTGGGGTCCCCTATGGGTCAGTGTAGACAGGATGAACCCTGGGGCAGGACTGGGGTGATGGTGGGGTGCTTTGGAGTGAAAGTAGAGTGATGGTGGGGTGACCTTGGGATGCCATTGGGGCGACAGTGGTGTGACTATGGGGTGCTGGTGGGGATGGAGCATGGCTACAAGCCAGGCTGGCTCCTTGAGACTCTGTCTCCTGCAGTCTAAGTGCTGGCACTGCAGGGGCTGCGCCAGCCCCAGGCAATGGGTGTGTTCATTTCTGAGCACAAACAATGCCTAGAAATCACAATTGTTCCCTTTCTGCCTGGGAGGAGAAATCCCTTCCGCTGGTGGCTCCCAGGTTGCGTGCGGTGAAGGGAAAATGAGTCAGTGCATCAGGGACAGACAAGCACCATGCTCTGCCTGGCCACTGGGACACGGGATATCCTCCCTTGTTGGAGGGGGACACCCAGATGAGCTCAGGCAGGATGAGGTTTTGGGAGCAAATTGAAGGTGAATACTGGACTTGAAGTCTTTATAGGGGAACCAGTACGGTCCTCAGCACTTGTGTAGGTGGGAGAGACTGGGGGCCCAGTGGAGTTCAGGAGATAGAACCATAGAATCCTTTGAGTTGGAATGAATCTTTAAAGATCTGGCCAACTCCCTGCAGTGAACAGATGGAGCATGTGCAGAGGTTTTTGGGGATGTCAGAGATGTCTCTGCTGCCGCCTGACACTCCTGATTTGCAGGTGAATGGGATAAACGTGGAGGGGCTGCGGCACTCAGAAGTGGTGTCCCATATCAAGGCCAGAGAGAGCGAAGCCAGGTTGTTGGTGGTGGACCCTGAGACAGATGAGTACTTCAAGAAGCTGGGGGTGACCCCCACCGAGGAGCATACCAAAGGTGAGAGCCCGGTTCTGCCCCCGTGACTCACCAGGACACGGGTGGGATTTCAGGAGTGACAGAGTCATGTTTCCCTTGTCTCATCCCTGAGTGGTTTCCTGAGCACCACCCAGCTATTTATAAACAGTGAGAATACTCCCAGCCACGAAACAACTCATTATTTTTACACCGTGAATAATTAACATAGGGACTGGCTGCCAGAAGGTGGCTGTGGGGTGGCGATGCTGTGGGATGTGGCGATGGGTGCAGCAGCACTCGGTGCAAGTGGTCCAGCTGTGGGGATGCTGTGCTGGTGGCACATCCCAAGGCTGCTTGGAGTCTGAGAGCAGAACACTGCTGTGGGGCTGCAGGGCGTGATGACCCTTGGCAAAGAAGCCTGAGGGTGCAGAGAGAAGTGCGGAGAAGCCCCCGTGTGCACATTCAGAGAAGGGTTTCACGCAGCAGCGATCACACAGATATCCGCTGCAGGGAATGTTTCCCTTGCTGCTGGAACCTGGCAGGGAAAGCAGTCTGTCCACTCCACACCCTGTCACCATCCAACCCAAGCTCGGTCAGGTGCTCCGTGGGAAGATTGGTCCAGAGAAATAGAGTCAAAGCGTTCTGAGGGGTGAGAGTGGTGTCAGATGCTCCGAGTGGGCTCGAGAAGGAGCGGTGTGAGCCCTGTCTGCTGGCATGAGCACAAAGGAGCCCTTGTTCTCAGCAGCAGGGACACAGCCAGGGCCATGCGGGTGGGTGCACGAGTGCCGGGCGCTGGCTCCCTGCTCCCTGCACCGGGAGGATGGGGGTGTAGTGAGAGGGGATTCAGCCTCTTCTCCCAGGTAACAGCGATAGAGTGAGAGGTGATGGCCTTGTGTTATGCTAGGGAAGGTTCAGGCTGGATATTTGGAAACATTTCTTCTCTGAAAGAGTGCTCAGACAGTGGCACTGCTGCCCAGGGAGTGGTGGGGTCACCATCCCTGGAGGTGATAAGAATTGTGGAGATGTGGCACTGAGGGATGTGGTCAGTAGGCATGGTGGGATGAGGTGGGGGTGGGCTTAGTTATCTTGGAGATCTTTTCCAACCTTACTGATGCTATGATGCACAATGGCTGCGGAGCTGTAAGTTAGAAGCCCTAGGATGCTGTAGTTGCAAGCTGGCACCAAGTGCTGCTCTTGCTTCACTGGGTGCTGTTGCACAATGAGTGCACACAGTGGTGTTCTCTGCTTGGCTGCTGTAGGCTGGGACTGCTCGGGGTCCTGCTGGGGCAACAGAGAAGCACAGAATGGGGTCTGTGCCCCCAGGAAGTCTTTGTGCTAAGTATAATTCAGTCACTAACCCTGTCACAATTAGCACATCTGTAGTACTGTGTCTCATCTGTCCCAGGCTGCCTTGAGCAGTGACTTGGTTGTGGGAACTAGCAGCTCATCTGCATTGAATTTCCCATTGTATGAAGCATTATTAACACAAATTATTGGAAGTGGGCAATAATATGCCAAGGTCCATGAAAGGCAGCAGGGTTGCTTGCCACATGCTGTTGCAACACCAACAAGATGCTGATTTCAGCAAAGAATGTTGGGCTGGTCTGTAAGATTTCCGATTAAACAATTCCCAGGAAAAATGATTTCACTGTCAAAAACCGGAGTGCACTTGGAGTACAGCTTAGGAAGTGGCTTTCTTATGATGAAAACAGGGTGCAATCGAATGAGGTTGGGATTGCAGAAGAATATGGTTCTGGGGGGCACACGCTGGGTCTGGCTGCAGCTCCAGGGCAGGGGGCACGCAGGGCTTCTGGGGCCATGTTGGGACAGCAGCCCCTGTGATGGAGCCCTGCCTGGCAGTCCCCATGAGTACACTCACTGTGTTTCCTCTGCCTGTCTGCAGGTGTGGTGCCTCAGCCCATGACGAATGGATCTGCACAGATGCAGGTGAGTCCCCACCTGCTCCCGGGTTGCCTCAGAGCAGAGGGAACCTCCAAGCACTGCCGAGGCTCATTGAGCTCAATTAACTGCTGCTGGCTAATTAGAATTGCATCCTGCTGTAGCTTTAATTTTAGGCTTGCACAAGGCTGGGCTCAGCCCTGTTTGTGACTTTTCCCCAGGAATGGCACCCTGCATGTTCTGTCGTCCCTGCAGGCATGGAGTGCTGCACTGGGGGCTGGCTGTGAGGTTTGTCCCCATGTGGTTGCTGGCTTTTATTGTTTCTGTCCCCACACAGCCTGAGCTAATGTTTCCATTTCCCACAGCTGAATGGAGGATCCACATCTTCATCTCACAGTGACCTTCAAAGTCCTGGGAAGGAATCCGAGGTAAAAACCCCAAACATGCTGCCTTTTTTTCACATACATATGTACATGTTTATGCCATGGTATCATGTAAAAACACATTTACATGCAATTTCAGTTTCAAATTGTAGGCTTAGGAACACCCAGTAAAAGGAACTTAGGAACTGCATCCACCCAGCAATCAATGCAGGGAATTCTGTCATGCCCTGCCCTGTAAATCCATGTGAGGTGCAGCTGTGAACCACTGCATTCCTTCCCTTTCACAAGGGGATGAAGGTGTGTAGTGCCACGTGGCTGTGCTGCCAGCAGTGCTCTGCAGCAGGGGATGCACCCCCTGAGCACCCAGAGCCAGCCGGGCAGGGGGCTGTGAGCAGCAGCTGCGTTCAGGGCTGAGCCAGGCACTTGCAGGCTGGCAGCTCCCTTTTGCTCTGAGCATTAAATAATGCATGGCCCAATTGCACAGTGCATGTGAAACGGTTTGCATCTGCGAGCCAGAGCAAAGCTGGAAAGGTCCTCTTGCAGGAAGCACTGTGTGTGTACGCATTAGGGCAGCAGTGCTAGAGAGCAGGACAGGCTTTAAGATGTTGAAAGTGAAGGTCTTTGTTTTCTGTGTTACCTGCTGTGTTTACGTGAGCATGGTGCATGCAAAGCACTGCACTGGGGCACTTCTGCAGGCATAAAGACCAGGAGTTGTACCGTCTGTCAAAACCATGGCACAGACATGGTGCTGGTGCAGGAGCTTTACATTGCAGCTGCTCTGGAGCTCACCCACTGAAAGCAGCTCTGGTGCAGCACCCAGCAGGGTCAGTCCTTCTTTACCCTGTAGACCCCAAGGAAAGGTGAAGGCTGGGATAACCCAGTGCTGTGTGTTTAGCACAAAGCATTTAGGCTTGTGTATTAATTGTACCCCAGGGTACAACGTGTTTGTCATATTTAACCTATTACAGGAATGAGAGAGGCAATGGGGGCTTTTGGCTTGAGGACACACTGCAGCAGTGGCAGTGACTTTAGATAGTCACTGATTTTCTTTCCATAAAGCATTCTATCAGGCAGATGGAAAGCTGCACCCTTTTGTACAGTGCCCAAAGGAGAATGCACTGGGTGCTGCCAGATGGGCAGGCAGGAGCCACTGGCTGCAGTGTGTGATGAACTCTGTGGCCCTGCAGCTCCTGTGCTGGTTAAATCACAGACAGCACGAGGCAGGGGCTTTGACCTAGCACTGTGTGTGACGTAGAATACAGGATGATTGGGTTGGAAAGGACTTTGAAGATCATCCAGTTCCAATCCCCTGCTACAGGCAGAGTAATTACCACACTGATTTCCCAGCCTTGATCAGACGTAAGAGCCAGTGTTCCTCATCTTTTGACATTAACAGAGCTTGGGTGCACAAGGCTTGGATGCTGCTTGGTGATTCCAACAGCCAGAGTAACAATTCCAATAAGGTCATTCACTGATTCCATCTGTCCCTCCCTGCAGGATGGAGACTCAGAGAAGAGGGACCCGTTTGAGGAGAGTGGGCTGAGTCTGAGCCCCACGGCAGCTGAAGCCAAGGAGAAGGTGAGGGCCAAGAGGGTGAAGAAGAGGGCTCCGCAGATGGACTGGAACAAGAAGAAGGAGATCTTCAGCAATTTCTGAGCCCTGCTGGAAGCAGTGCTCATTGCCCTGCCCGGACGTTTGGAGGTGCCCGCAGCTCTCCTGCAGTGTCCACGTGAGATGCTTTGTGCTATGCTCTTCACTGGTTGCTTTTATGAAGCGTATTTTAAAGTCTTTTTTTTTTTTTAATTGTTATTATTATTATTGTTATTATTATTATTGTTACTCACCAGCGATTCTCATAAGACAAATGTGACCAAAGCTCCTTTCCTTGCTCGCATTCAGCCTGGTTGGCTTCCCGCTGTCCCCATTCCTGCTGAAAAAGGACTGGAAGAGTTTCACTCTTGTTTCTTACCTGTGTTATTTAGGCTTTTGTTACTGTTTTTTATTTGGGGTGTTCTGGGTCTGCAGGTGTCCCAGGCTGAGCCCCATGGGATGCTCTGTGCTCCTGTGCAGATGGGGGCACCTCACCGTGGTGGAGGACTGGCATGCCCCTCGTGATAGGAAAACAGACAGGCTGTGAATCACTTGCTAGCTTTGCTATGGGAATGAAAGTATTCTCATTGCTGTTGTTTTGAATGAAACATCATCTGTTTCCAGTTAATGTAGGGACCTCCCTCCCCAGAAGCGACTCCTGTCCTGGCCCTGGCAACCCTTTTTCCACTTCTCAGTGCTGCAGAGGGGGATGCGCAGACAGCACAAACCCAGCACCAGATGCCACCAACCTCACAATCTGCACAGTGTGAGAGATGCTGCAGGGCTGAGTGTGTCACTGCGGAGCCCTTGGGGTGGGCACACTGAGCCTCGCCCCACTCCCCCTCTGTTCCTTGGCCACAGGGTCAGCTATGGAGTAAACTCTGGTTAGGAGAGGTTTGATGTCGGGGCACTTGCTTTGGTTTTGTGTCCTCCTTTTAATACTAGGAATGTTTGCAAATCCTCCAAATGTAAAGCATGACAGCTGATGTTGTTTTAAGCTCTTTATTGCTTGCCGTTGGCTGTGAAGGAAGAAAATGGAATGCAGCGCACCACAGAGAGTCCGGCTGTGGGGTCTGCTTCCCCCAGCAGCCCTGAGCTCCACTGTGTGCTGGCCATGCAGCAGTGGGGAGGGACTGGGCATCTGGTAAAGCCATGTTCCCCAGCTGAATGCAAATAGACAGCGATAACTTGGGTGTTGATGACTCTTCTAAACAAAAGACTTGGCTGTGACTTTGCTCTGTTACTCCTCAGAGCTGCTGTATTACAAGGTAGAGGTCTTTGGATTAGTCAGTGCACTACGGATATTGCCATGGCTCTGTGTTTCCTAAACACTGAACTAAAAGGTGCCTTATACCACGTGCTGCTCTCCTGGCTGCAGCATAGGGCCAGCACTTGGCTGCTGGCTGGAGGGAGCACGGAACCCTCAGGGGTGGAGGAAAGGATTTTTCTTTTATGAAAGTGCAAACTGTTGATGGGCTGAATAGGTTGGAAAAAAAAAAAAATGGAGAGGGTCTGGTGCAGGTGTTGGATTACTGAGGACAAGACTGACAGCAGGATGATGGCTCAGGATAGGGGAGATTTCTTCCCCTCCGGGATGCTGCCATTAGCTACAGGCCTCTTCCCTACCCCCCTTCAAAGACTATTAGCTCCTCTCATTTTAGTCCCTGAAATATTTGCTTCTACAAGAACTAAGAAAGTACTGACGGAGCCCCACATTTTCATGGTATGCACATCGTTCCCAGTGCCTGCATAGCCAAACCCCACAGTACTCTGCTCTGTGCAGGGCAGAGTGCTCCCCACTGCACCAAGAACTTAATCTATGATGCACGTTAAGAGCAAAGACTCATTTGTAAATACCACGTTTCTCATACAAGACTGGACCACTGTAGTTAAAGGGGGAGGAAAAAGAAAGAACGTGTAGTTCTGAAAGCAGATCAAAAGAAATCAGGTGTGCAAATGCATACTGATAAGATTTTAAAATCTTAATCTCTGCTTAGTCCATGGAAATTGCTCCTGGTTAAAGCACTTATCATATTTCTGACATCTTGTAGCTCAGTAGTAATTATTCAGTTCCTGTACATTTAACTTGGAAAAAAAAATCAATAAAGTATAAGGCTGTTAGCTGTATTGTAAAAACATAATATACACTGTAATGTCAGTAATAAACTTTGTTTTCCCATGTACCACTTATTTGCTCATTCCTCATCTGTGTGGTGAGAACTTGAGGGTGGTATTACTGCCTTCTTTAGCACATTATAAACTTTGCTTCCTCCCTTGCCTGTTTAAAGTGTAGCTGAAATGATCCCTTTGAAGCTCTGCAATGAAGTCAGTGTTGCCCTTTCTCTGAAGAACAAAACACACACGGTGGTGGTAGTGGCCCTTCTGTCAGCTTCTGAGGTATGTGCTAACCTGGATCCTGCAGCTACTGGAAACTCTGTATTCAAAGAGTGTGAAGCTGGCTTTGTTACCTGCTGCCATGATGTGCCTCCCCCGGACTCCTCTGCAAACAGAACTCAAAGGTCACTTGTTCAGACTGTGGCTGCCTCTGACCCTGGCTTGTGACATCTCTAGCTGGACCTTACTGACCATTGTTCTCACTGCTAGGGCCAGGCAGGAGACTTAGCTGCCTGCTCTCAGCTGGCTGGGCTGGTTGCTGTGGGCTCACGCTTTGGTGAGGCCATTGGTATTCTTTCCCTACCTTGTGTTACAGAGATGCCAGCAAACCTCACAGGTAGAAAAAATAACCCACCACCTTTATTCAACACATAATTACAAGCAGCAGCAAGTCTTGCATTTCTCCAGCTGTTTCTGACACTGCACAGCCTGCTGTGCTGCTGGGACATACTCAAGCATTCACATGGGGGCTGTAGCTGGCAGCACTGATGCAGCAGGACTATGTGCTTTGAAGGACCCTTTTTCCTCTTGAGAGCTCAGCTACTGACAGCAGCTTCCCCTCCCCAAGAACGCTGAGCTGGCTGCAGCAGTCTCCTGTTTCCCCACAGTCACACAGCCCCGTGCAAAGCACAACATTCCTACCGCTTGGCTCTGGGTTGAAGTGGCCTTCTTACTCTAGGAAGCCAGAATGGTTTCTTAGAATCTCTTAGCAGCAGGACATATGTCTTGATTGAGGCATTCTTTGCAGCGAGGATTCACAGGCAGGCAGGTCTGCTGGCCAAAGCCCACCAAGAGCCAGTTTATCTCCCTCCAGAGATCCCTGCAGCAAGAGAGAGAGCGAGCTTTTCAGTGCAGCTGCTTAGAGGGGTTAAGCAGCCCATGTTATTACACTGATACCTTTTGCCTATTGTTCCTCTTGGCTTCCCAAGCCACCTGGAAGCTACGGACAGCCCTAGCTCCTCTTGATCCCTCTGAAGTGTGGGGGATGTAGGACAGTCACATAAAGCACATTGGTCATTTCCTTGTGCTAAGGCATGTGTCAGATGCAGAGATGTGATATTAGAATGCTGCACTTATGAGTTGGTACTTGATACTAAAGATTAAGCATCACTGAAGGCCAGAATCCAACCATGGCCTGCTATTGCTATGGCCATTAGGCTCAACAGGGCCCCACACAGAAAGGTACCTGGCTTGCATCATAATAAGTTTGTATAGGAAAGTGAGTGTGGTATCAAGACCTCCAGGTACCTTCCTGAACTAGTGCTGACTGACACATCTAATAGCGAAGAAACCACTCAGTAGTTGAGATGCTGCTGAAACACCCTGAGAGCAGAGAGACATCTGCAGACAAGTCCATCCATAAGAAGGAGATCCACACTGCAGCCACTCAAAACGCAATAGGATTTATGCAGATGTGGCTCCTCTGTCTAGCACAAGGCAGAAGGAGGCTGGGGGCTCACACCTCACCTGGGCAGCCAGTCCTCCAGTGCTACCCGAGTTTCCTCAGGGTATCTGGTCTCCTTCTTCACCCACTTCAGCCTGTTTGTGATCCTGTGCACATGGGTGTCCACAGCTAGGAAGGGAAAGCCCAGAGTTTAGGTGGGAGACAAACATGCCTGAATGGAGACAGCACATCCAGGGCTGCCTGTCACAGCAAACCAGGTAAAATGCCCTGCAATGGTATTCCTTTGCAGCCCTGCAGGAATAGGGCAGGTGAAACACAAAGGGAGGCTCACTCACAAAACAAACGTGTTGGTTTCTTCCTAAGCTCAGAGCCAAAAGCAGACAGGGTGGGTATCTCATACCACACAGCTAGCAACACACTGACACAATCTTACGCAGCCTTCCTACAAAGGTTTCCGCACTGTGATCTAGCAGGCACAGGGCAGCCTGTCCCAGGTTCTCTTCCTCCGGGTATTTCAGCTGTTGTTACGCAAGTTGCAATCTCTGCCCCTCAGTTTACCCAGATGGAAAACACATTTCATAATACCTACTAACACAAGAGGGTTTGTGAGGTTTAAACAAATGTTTATAAAGTGCTTTGAGCTAAAAAGCTCAGAATGCAAAGTATATTATTGTTAGATCAGCAGCGATAAACCTGTCTCTGTGGCTAATTGGGCAAAACCCAGGAAATTGCTGTAAACAGGAAAACTAAGCCTTGCCTCCTAAATCAAAACTGAACACGCAATTATTTAGAAAACAGTTGGCTAGTTTGGCTCCCAGTGGACTTCCCTCCCCCATAGCAGGAGAGAACAACGGACCCTGAACACTGTTGAGCTCTCACACAAGAGCCACATTTTGCACAGCTGACAGTCACCAGCGGGGCTGCAGGGGTCAGCTGCTGCCCGCACTGACCTTGGGTTGCGACAGTCATTCATCAGGTGGCACCACTATTGGCTTTCCCAGGGTCCTCAATTAACCAGCAAATTCACTTGGAATATTAATCCATCCCCAGGGTCCTGGGGTTGTGCTGATCTTCCAGCCCCATCTGCTGGCTGTGCAGGGCAGCCCTTTCTTTTTATAGTGTATCATGAACCTCTGAACTGATTTCAAGCAACTGGCACTAGAGACTACGCTACATTTCTACCCTCCTAACAGCCTGCAGAAGGAACTTACCAAACCTCAAGCTACCCTAAAACTATTTGCAAATCACAAAATTCTCTCTTTCACTTGAAACCAATGAGACTTCAAAGTTTTATTTTACTACCGCATCTTTTTGGATGCCTACCCAATTAAGCAACACTTGCTCTGCTTATCAGCATCTGAGCTGAGAGAGTGACTGCACTCGGGGATTTCTGCTTCAAATTTTGGGCAAAACAGTAAATGGGTCCATGCTTAAATCCTAGTAATACATCCACTTTGAATGGTTGAGGATTGCACCCTGCACCCACCCAAGCACAACATACACTCTGCGTAAGACTCAAGTGATGCTATTAGGTTCCTTAGGGCAGGCAGCTTGCAACGAGCTCTTTCTGCTCAGGGATGGATCATGGAGGATTCAGGAACAGAGAAATGTGGAAAACACTGTTCAACCTACCTATCCCAGATACGCTGTTCCAAGCAATGTTCATGGCCAAATGGGCCATTTTGGGCCCAACTCCTGGCAACTTCACCAGCTCCTCCACAGTGCTTGGTATGTCACCCCCATAATTCTGCTTCAGGATGGCTGTTGTCTGCTTTATATACTTTACCTTGTTCTGAAAACCAAAGGAAAAAGCAGAAAAATCAAGTTGCCCTCCAATACAGGAAAAAGAAACAAAAACATTACTTGGTGTGAGTTATGTGTGAGGCCATGCACTGGAGTTTGCAGAGGTGACAGAGATCTTAGATTTTTCCCTGAAAGCAAAGTGCTGAAAGCTGATTAGCTCTACCCTCCTCTGCACTCTGCAGGCACTGCAGCAAAAGATCTTACTGTGAATACAAATCACTAAAACCAGCATAAAAATACAGCCTTTAACTTGACTCCAGGAAAAAGATCACCACAGGGCATGGAATAAAGGCTGAACACAGCGGGAAGTCTCAGACACAGGGCTGATTCACACCCACCTTCTGCCTTCAGCACTTGCTTTCTGCACAGGTACTGGCCATGAGATACCGCCTGCAAAGGCTAAGCCACCCACCTTGTGTCCCCCTCCTGGGCAATCCCAGACATAGGACTGTGTATGGGAACAGGGGAAGGTGGAGGAGGTTAATGCACACAAACGTTGATCCTGCACTTACTCTCCAGAATCCAACAGGATAAATGATTTGCCCAAGAGTTGCATCATCCATCTGCAAAATGCTGTCAACCGTGAGGCCACGCTGCCTCAGGCGGAGCATGGCAGCTGATGTCACCTGGTCCTTGGTCTGGCTAGAGAGCATCAGAGACAGCAGAACTTGGTAGCGCATAACCTGGGGGAAAGGAGACACCTAAAGGCTCTGAGAAGATTCTTTTGGAGCTGGATTCTCTCACCCAGCACAACACTGCTGAGCCAGTCTGCGTGTTCCCTCTGTGTCCCCATGCTCAGTGCATAGAGAACACAGCCCTGCACTGTGTCCTTGCCTTGCTTTGTTTTTAGTACTGATGCAAATGCTCCCCTTCCCCACTGTTCCCATGCTGGGGGAACACAATGCCACTGCAGCAGGCCCCCATCTTTCAACCAGCATCCCCTTAAAGGAGGGCTGCAAGAAGGAAGAAAGCCAATTTGCACTTCGGTGTTGTTCTAAGAGCCCAACAGCAGGTTGGAAAGTTCTTCTCAGCTCTCTCACCTTCTCCCTGAACTATTTTTCCTCTGTGTTACAGAGCCATCTTGATGAGCAGTCTCCTTGGACTCCCGCAGAGACTTTTAAAGAAAGAAAGGACATGCCTTCATGCCCTGCCAGCTAGTCCTGAAAGTACAGCCCTAATACGTTCTTGAGGTTGTCACTCTAAGTCCAAAGTCATCTCATTTTTGCCTCATCCTCTGCTGTTGGTTCAAGCTGGCAACTCTCCAGTTTAAGCAGAGGACAAGCATATTTCACAGCTGTGTTTACTAGTTAGAATGGGCTAAATGGGAGCAGAGAACCCAGAACCACATCACAAGGGCTGTCTGAAGGCACTGAGCCAGGCACAGGACAGCAAGCAGCTGGCTCTTCTCTGCCCACAGGATAAGCCAACTCCCTCCCACGTGTACCTGTGCCATAACCTCCGGCACAACTGATCCCTGCCTTCAGACTAGATGCACTCCAGTAATTTATTTTGCTATTATGGAGATACCCAAACCAGCACTATGCAGTCTAGTGATGCTCCTGGGGTGCCATTACCTGCGGTGGTGCGTTGGTGTCATAGCATTTATCCACTCCCATCTCATCCACGGGAGCATCTCGGTGCCTCCTCATCTCCCGGATGCGCTCCAGCTGCTGCCGCCAGTTCTCCGGCTCCCATTTGGGGCCAGGAGACTCAGGCCTGGGTTCAGCTTCATAGGCAATAGGGACCCTCCTTGTCCTCCTGCTGTACCTCGGGGCTGCACTGGGGACCCGGCTTCCTGCAGGAGGGAGATGTTCATGCCTGAAGCCAACACTTGCTGTCAGATTCCACCACCTGCCCTACACCCAGTGTTCTGAGAGGAGACAGACACCTTTCCCATAACCTCAAACCAGCAGCACTTCCTGTGCGGGCACCAGCCGGAATTGGGAGCACCGTAAGAGAGCAAAGAAGGCCCTTACAGAGAGGCAGTCCCCCACAGACAGATAACAGCCCTTCAAAACCCATCTCAAGACTCCTCAACAACCCCATCCGGGCTGCTGCTTTGACGATGGCCCAGACTCCGCCCCCTTCTCCGACGGACTCGGATTCGGATCTAGTCCCAGCCCCAGCACTAATCCTGACCCTCGCTCCAACCCCGCCCCGTACCTGCGGTCGCAGCTCTGAGCCTCCGAGCCGCCCGCCCACCGCCCCCAGGCGCAGCCGCGCACATGGCAGCAGCCCGGTACATCCGGGACTACCAATCCCAGAATGCCGTGCGACGCAGAAGGCACCGGGAGTGCCTAGAGGGACTTCCGCCAGAGGCGGGGCCGGCGCGGCGCGTAGAGGGGCCGGGGCGGCGGGGCCGGGCCTGCGGCGGGTGAGCGGCCCCGGGCGCGGGGCTGCGGCCTATGGCTACCGCCTTTGGCCGCCGCGGGTCTCCGGAGTGCCGGGGAGCGGTTGGGGTGCGGGGTGCTGGGGGTCTGGGTGCCTGCGGGGCTGCTATGGCGTTTGTGCTGTGTTCCCGGGACGCAGCGATGGGTGTCCTGACGTGGGGGGCGGAGTGCTGGGCTGACCCTTGGAGGGCAGGGTGCCCCGCTGTCCTGAAGGCCGTTGTGCTTAACGTTTATGTTCCGGTGCTGCGTGCTTTGTCGTGGAATCGTGTAATATCACCGGTTGAGCGGGAGTCACACATTGCTTTTGGGCTGGGAGTAATGGAATCCCAAAATGGTCGCGTTAGAAGGGCCCCCAGAGCCCCCAGCCCCACACCTGCTGAGGGCTGGTTGTCTGCAATGGATCAGACCAGGGCCCCATGCAGCCTGGCATGAAGCACCTCCAGGGATGGGGCACCCGTGGGTAAAGAGAGTGAGGACTTTAGTGCATGCCTTCCTCAAAGCGTGTGTGTCTGTGTTCCAAAAATCAATTCAGTGGTGGTAAAATGGAGATTGCTGTGTACTGGCTGTGGTGGCATTGATCACTCAGAGCTCCCAGCAAATGGTTACCCAGTGCTGTCAGCCCCGGGCAGCTCAGTGTTGTCCTCAGCATTGGGCTTCTCTGTAAACAGCTTGAAACAACAGAGCTGTTTGTAAATGCTGCATTGTGAAGGCTGTTAGTTTTCATACTTAAAGATTCTGCCTGGGCCTCCCTGAACAGTCACTGCTCTGTGTTTGCAGGGGCTCAGCACTGCTTTCTTGTCAGCTATGGCAAAGCCTCAAAGCAAGGATTCGGGGCTGAAGGAGAAGTTCAAGAATCTCTTGGGGCTGGGAACATCCCGGGGAAGTTCAAAGTCAACAGAGGGCAAGCAAACGGAATTCATCATCACTGCAGAAATACTCAAGGTGTGAGAAATGTGTATAAAGGTGTAGTCTAGATTGCTTGGGAAGGCAGAGGGCTCTCAGTCAGTTGTTCTGCTTTCTTTATTGCCATGTGTTCTTGCCTTTTTACCTAATCTCTCAATTCACTTTAGTGAAATGCATGTAAGATTCATGGAGTTAGAAGTTACAGTGTTTTAATTATTAAATGTTCAAATACTTTTGAGATATTTTATAGGGTGATGTTATTCTCTGTTCTGACAGATTACAGGCTGTTTTCTCAGAGTAAGTGGTTTTGCATTGATAGTCTGAACTTGATGAAGTTTATGTGGTGGCAGTTAGTGTAAGCTGAAAACTATTTCTGTTATATGAAAGCTTACATTTTTGTGGAAGAAAAACTCAGATGATTAATTGGTCTAGTGAGTCTGTAAACAGAATAGTTGGCAGACGAGGGGGGAGACACATAGAAGGGGGAAAGAGATCAGGATTTCTTGTTGTCTTTGCTGAAGCAGCCGAGCTTTTACCGGCTGGAAGCTGGAGAGAGACTGCTGTCCATCCTTTTCCTGCCTCCTGTGTGCTCAGTAAATGCCACAGTCAGAGTTATTAATTTTTCTGAAGAAAGAAATTGAGTTGTTCTGTCCTGGAGGTGAAAACCTGCTTAGCTCCAGATCTGGGAGAGTTCTCGTTTTGACGAATCATCATGTGCTCATGCAAAAATGTTTTTGGAGAAATTCCTGAAAAGCTCCAGTGATGATGACTAATAGATGATTTTGGGCAAACGTCTTAATTCCTTTCTTCAATGGCCCCTATAACCCTTTGGGAAATGGTTTACTGTTTCTAGAAAGATAAACTGTTGGCTTATTTCTGCATTTTGTTCCAGGAACTGAGCATAGAATGTGGATTAAGTAATAGGATACGAGCAATCAGCCAAATCTGTGAAGTGGCAAAAACAAAAAAAATTGAAGAGGTAAGTTTCAAAGTGTTCAGTGAGTATTTGAAGCATAAAATGTAAACAACAACTCTTAGCTTATCATAAGAGGTTCCTGTAGTTTGATTGCCTTTTCAAATTGGTAATCCCAGAAGCTACATGTTGTGCTGTCCAAACCTGTAGTAAGGTGGCGTATGTGCCAAGGAAATTAGTCTTGTTCAGTCTGCCAGCTGTGGTGGAGAGAGCATGTAGCTGTTGGGTTTTCTGCATGAAATGGAAGGATAATTCTGTAAATATTTTGGTCTGATCAGGGCAGTTAACAGAAGATGATGTTAATCCTTCAGGGAGGGTGTTTACTAGCTTCCTGTCCTGTTAATAAGCTACTTCCAATTGGTTTTAAACTCACCTTGTGTTTGGATGAAGGTTTTCTCTACAAATGTCATGTGAATGAGGAACTTCAGTGACTGGGGTACAGGTTGTCATACAGGCTCTCTGACATCCTTTACCAGAGCTTAATGACAGGCAGGTGGGAGTGTCTCTCAGGAAGGAGAACTCGACGTGAAATCCTGAGGATCTTGTTTATTAACGTGCAATAATTAGTGGCTGACTTACTGGGTGAAGTTCCCAGAAGAAGCTTGCCTTTCCTTATACTGCCTCTCATGTTTGTTTGCAGCATGCAGTGGAAGCAATATGGAAGGTGGTAGCTGATATGCTCCAGCCTGAGCGCCCAGCTGAAGCCAGACATGCTGTTCTTCATCTCCTGAAGTCTATCATTCAAGGACAGGTGAAAACAAACTATAGAAAAAACACTATACTTAAGCTGGATTTGTGTTGAATGTGAATGTGAAAAGATATTGGGCAGTTTTTTTCTACAACTTTCCACACTTCTTATTTTGGTGTTTTAATTTAAATTCAGGCACAGTGCAGCAAATTTCATACAGTCTTTGTCCAGACATGTCAGTCCCAGTCTGCAGCAGTTTCTGATATTTCAGCATATCGAATGTGCAAGAGGTTCTCTATGAGATGCTTTCCTAGTCTGGCCAAGTTAAGCATGCTATGAATTCTTCTGATGTCACAGTGTGCTGTTCAAACATAAGACCGTATCAGACCAAAGTTCTGCTTTGCAGTATCTTGTAAGGGTAGTGGTAGATGCTTAGGAAAAGAGTAAGCATCAATTCTGTTTCATTTTGTTTTATAAATGCTCTCCTGGCAGTGCTGTCTGTTGCAGTTTCTGTGGGTTGCTTTGTGTATTGGATGCTGTCTGTGTGGTGCTGGACAAAATAGCCTTCAAGCCCTGAATGCTGATAAAGAAATGTTAGAACAGACTGAGAAGTCCTGTGCAATTGCCAGTAGAGACAGAGAGTTATTTTTATAGCCTGTAGAAAAAGAAAATAATATCAAGCATTGAGTTTATCATTGCAGCTTTTGATCAGGTCTGGGCCTTCTTTAGTGACATTGTTATTTCTCCACCTTCTTCTCCTACCCCCCACTCCCCTTTTTTTTTTCCTAAGGGTGAGAGATTAGGAATCCTTAGAGCACATTTTTTTAAGGTTATTAAGGACTATCCCTCCAATGAAGACTTGCATGAACGGCTTGAAGTGTTTAAGGCTCTAACAGAAAATGGTCGATACATCACTTACTTAGAGGAAGAATTAGGTGAGTGTTATCTTTAGTCCTCTAACACTTGCCTGTAATAAGCCAAGTGAGAGGCATCCAGCAGTGTGAAAAAAAGGCAGTAGAGATAACGCTTCTGGACAGAAAGCTGATTGTAATGATTTGTTTTCTCCCTTTAGCTGACTTTGTGCTACAGTGGATGGATGTTGGTTTGTCTTCAGAGTTCCTTTTGGTTTTAGTGAACCTGGTGAAATTCAACAGCTGCTATCTGGAAGACTATGTAGCTGACATGGTCCAGTACGTTTTTTTTACCCTTTAATTGTTTATTCTTGTCTTATTACAGGGCAAAGCTGCAGATTAATATGCAGATTAGTGGAATCTTTTTAATCTGATCTGGATCTTTTTTGTTCTGGGTCATATTTGACAATTCTGACAAACATTTGGTTTTTTTTTTTTACAATGTTCAGATCCATTTTAGTTTAAAATGTTGCATGTACTTTCCTCGTTTCCTGTGATGTCTGCTGTTTTACTAACAAAGTCATAATGAGAGGTTATTCAAGTGCAACTTTAAGCTAACAGTTTATAAAAGGTTGTACTGTCCAGTGTCCTTAGGAATGTTATAAAAAGTGCCAAAGTAGGGAGAGTGATAAGAGAAAATTGCATGCCAATTTGCTTTTCTGTTTTAGCTCTTTGTAATTTGCTTAAAACTATATTATGCAAACAATTATAATTAAATGTTCTTTCTTAACAGCAAGATATGCATCTTGTGTATCCAGACTTCATCGTCTGTGGATATAGAGGTCAGTAATTTGAGTCTGTCTTAATACTTCAGAGTTCTTTGAAATTCTTTGAAACCAAATCTTTTAGAAACAAAATCAGACCATCAGACTCTCATCCCAGTTTAGCTCTCTTCTAAGGTGAGAATAATACAATGTTATGAAGTGTTTGTAAGCCAAAATATCTCTTACACTAAAACTAATTTTATTCCAAAAGAAGCAGAGCATGCATAAGTTTGTTAAGCAAATTTTTGAGAGTAGTTTTTATGGGTTAATTTTTATCCTGCATTAAAAAAAAAATAAAAGCAGAAACACATATCTTAGTCTTTTTTAACTTCCACAAGATTTCCTGGGCCTGTCAGCCTAGGATTTGACTTGCTTTATTCCTAAGAAAGTGTATAATCATGTTATCTTCTCTTTCTCAAAGATTTCTTTGCAAGTTTTAGATGCTGTTGTTTGCTATAACTGTCTGCCATCAGAGAACCTGCCTGTATTTATTATCACGTTGTGCCGTACCATCAATGTGAAGGAACTCTGTGAGCCATGCTGGAAGGTCAGAACTTTTAATGAGTTCACTGTTTCTTCCTCGCAGATGAAGAGCCACATGCCTGTGAACATATGTCATGCTTCTAAAAACAAACCAAAAATTAAATTGTTTCAAGCATTAAGGGCTCATCACATTGTTTGTGTAAATTCTGTCATTTCCATGCACTAAGCTGTGCTTTCAGCTGATACGGCAGGCTCCCTTTTCTGTTGGGGCATGGAAATGGCATAAAGCACATTTACTTTCTATAAGCAGTTACAATTATCCAGCTGAATGCACATTTAGGGTCATGAGTGTTTTAACAGTTGGATATTTAAGTGTTCTCTTTGAATTTCCAGCTTATGCGCAACCTTTTGGGAACTCATTTGGGACACAGTGCAATTTACAACATGTGCAGGATCATGGAAGACAGGTAAAGAGAGTGTATAACAAAACCCTAGTCATTCAGTAGAAGCCCCATTGAGGTAGACTGGGGAGCCACTGACCTCAGTAGGACAGGCTGGGAGTTTGGTTCTTAGAAGTTAGTCCTTTTCCTAATGAAACTGCCAGAATGCTCATTTTTCAGCTTTTCTGAATGTAGTTTTCCTTCATTAAAAATAAAATCTTACTAAAAGGTTTTCTAGATTTTATGTTTATAAATTGCGATGCTCTAATGTGTACAGCTGGAAATTATGACAACGTGTATTCCTGTTGAGCCTTGTGCCCCAAAATGATCTTTGCATGATCTAAGACTTTCTTCCTGTCTGTTTGCAGAGCTTACATGGCAGATGCAGCCCTGCTGAGAGGAGCAGTGTTCTTTGTTGGGATGGCTCTCTGGGGTGCTCATCGCCTCAATTCACTCAAGAATTCCCCAACTTCTGTGCTGCCTTCGTTCCTCAAGGTAGGATGGGATGCTGGAGAAACTTTTTAATCAGGTGTGTGTCTGGACCTGTACGAATTTAGAGCAAAACTGTGATCCCCTTCACCCAAGGGATCTTTGTGTGGTTGTAAGATATCAATTGGGTGATGTATAAGGGAATAAAACAACAGAGATTTTAGGTTTAAAACTGAGAGTACCTTCTAGGCTATTTCTATAACTCTGTTGGCTAGCAACACAAACTCTGATTTCCCTTTATAAAAAATCTACGTTGTGGATGCTAGCTTAAAAAATAAAAATGAAGCATAAACTTGCACTCTTCCTAATGTGTGATACAGAAATCTGGGGGACAGTATCTTCAGAGCTCCCTTAAAATTTTCTCATTCAAGTGAATCAAGTGGGAGTTACTAGCTTTAAAACCTCATGAGCTACTCTTTTAGGATAGGGCTGAATTTGGCAGCTATCTACAGCTATTCGCAGGAGGGTGTAACTGCACTTCATAAAAGAGTTCTTTTCTTTGGCCTTTGTGTGAATAGACTTGGATGCATTTATCACAGGCCTTCAGGCTAACTTTATAATGAGTAAGGCGTGTTTCATTTGAATTCAAGAGGGTTTCTGACTGCTGTTTTCCAGTTGTTAACTGTCTGAAACACTTTGTATTCCAGGCCATGACATGTCCCAATGCAGTTGTATCTTACGAGATAGTTCTGTCCATCACACGCTTAATAAAGAAGTATGGGAAGGAATTGCAAGCTGTAACCTGGGATATCCTCTTGGACATCATGGAGCGATTACTGCAACAGCTGCAGGTAAGTGTTGAGCCTATCCTGATGCACTTTCAATTAAAAGACCTTCCCATAAATATTTCTGCAAATTGATCTCTTGTTTGTACACTCCACTGCCCTTTGAAGTCAAAGGAAGGTTTAGCCCAATTCTTGATACTGTGCTTGTCAGCTGAGTTTTCTATATGTTAACAATTGATATTTTCTGGTAAAGTATAAGTCTTCCAGGAATGCTTTTATCTCTATTTCAGAGTTTAGAGAGCCAAGAACTTAAGTCCATTGTACATGATCTTTTGACTACAGTAGAAGAACTCTGTGACCAGAATGAATTTCATGGTTCTGAGGAGAGATTTTTTGAGCTGGTGGAAAGATGTGCTGATCAGAGACCGGTAAGACTTTCCCTGGTAGCTTCTTTATGGTCAGTTGAAATTGTTTCATTACTTGGTACAGTTGAAAACAGTGAGTCCTGAAATAGTAAGTGGTTGCAGGATGAGGGGAAATGGTTTAAGTTGAGGGAGGAGAGATTTAGGTTGGACATCAGGGGGGAATTCTTTACAGAGAGAGTGGTGAGGTACTGGAACAGGCTGCCCAGAGAGGTTGCCCCGTCCCTGGAGGTGTTCAAGGCCAGATTGGATGGGGCCCTGGGCAGTCTGGTCTAGCATTAAATGAGAAGGTTGGTGGCCCTGCAGTGGCAGGGGGGTTGGAGCTTCATGATCCTTGAGGTCCCTTCCAACCCTGGCGATTCTGTGATTCTGATTCTGTGATTCTGTTAGAAAACCTCAGCAAGGACTTACGTTTGCATGAACCTTGTTCTTAGAGGGAGGACAAAAATAAATGTATTGTTTTTGCTTATACACTAAAAAAAAATTCTTGATCTTTCCATGAAAGGAATCTTCTGTATTAAACTTGATAGCATACAGAGCTCAATCCATTCATCCTGCCAAAGATGGCTGGATTCACAACCTGCAGATGTTAATGGAGAGATTCTTCAGGTATGAAATCATAACTTTATGAATGCAAGGTACTTTCAAATGTTTCTTGCAATCTTTCCATGTTAAATAATTTTGTTTTCTGAAGTTCTAATGTTAGTGAACGACTGCTATGAAGTACAGTAGTTCCAGGGCACAGTATGTGAAAGGATTTGTTTAGCAGAAGAAAAACTTTCCACTGAGTTATGTTCCTTTTTTCCCCCCTGTCCTTTATTACCATTGGTTGGTGCTATTTCACTTCGCTTAGGCAGTTACATGCTTCACTGCACAATGCTCTCTACTTCTGACAGCAAACAAGACTTTGCTGTTCAGCCTCGTGATTGTATGTGGTAGTCCAGTATTAAAGTAATAACTGCTGATGAATTGGCACTCCTAGAAGTACTTTTATGCTCTAAAATACCTTCATGTAGCAATAAAAAAAACCTTATGTCTCATTTCTGAAATACTGCTGAAGAGCAGATCCTTCCCTCTGCTATCTGTTCGGTTTTGAATTTGCTCACTGAAGCACTTGCCCTTCAGTACTTCTAGTTTGGACTGGAAGTGGAAAAAATGCAGTTACAGATCTTCAGTAGGAGTAAAAGCTGAATTATAGGAAAAAGCTGAATTGGGATTCTAGTTTCCATTTGTTCCTGAATCTGATCTTATATAAAGAGACATTAACTGAAGGCTGAACTGATCTCTAATGTTTATTGCTCTGACTCAAAAAGTTTCTTAGTTTATTTTAGTTTTACTTTCCTTTTATTTCTCTTCCCCCCCCTCCCCTAAATAGCAGCAACTTTATTTTACTCATCTTGAATTTGCTCTTCCTATTTTAGGAACGAAAGTCGTAGTGCTGTTCGTATTAAAGTTCTGGATGTCTTGTCCTTTGTACTGAGTATTAACAGACAGTTCTATGAGGTGTGTGTTAATCTGTTTCTGATGATTACATGTGTGATCTTAAGGGGGTGGGAAAGGCTTTGATGTGGCACGTTCTGTGGTGTTGTCTCTTCCACTGAACAGTGCACACAATTGTGCTTTCAGTGTTACACACAACAAATGTTATTTCCAAATGTTTGTAGGAGGAATTGCCTTTTAGTTGTCCTTAGCCAAATAAAGGTGTATGCAAGTTGTAGTAGAGGTGCTGTGAAACGTTTTGAGGACATCCTTGCTTATTGATTTGCTTCCCTGTTTTAAAATCATTAATTTCATTTACATTTTGTTTGGAAAAACAGAATTGGTCTGAGAGACACAGAGTTGATATAAAAGCTTTGTGAAAACGTGAGGTTTGGGCAGGATCTGACATGAGCAGATTGACTTGACTTGGTGCTTCCAGTTACCATCCAAGATAGAAGCTGTCTGAAAGAGAAGTTGCTCAAGAGCTCTGGGGATGTTTTCAGCTCCCTGGAATGTACCCAGAGTGTGTCAGAGAGCAGGAAGGGGCAGAGTTGCTTCTTGGATTTCTTGAAGATTCATGAAGACTTGTTGCTGTTGTATATTTCCTGCCCATCAGGAAACTAAGTCATAGAACTCCCTTAGCCCAGGTTCAAATAGATGATGTCATCTGTAGGATAGATGAAAAGCCAAACACTGAGTCTGAGTTAAGCAAAAAGCCATACGTATTTTGGAGAGGGGTGTAAAGAAATACTCAGCTGGAGGGAAGAGGAAAGATCAAGGCTCATAACAGTTAGTTGAGGATCAAGCCTGATACTAGTATTCTTTTCATAGCTGTTTGTCTCTTTAACATGCTTATTGAAAAACTGACAACAAAATGTCTAGGCTCATTCAGGTCTGTTCTCTTGCAGGAAGAGCTGATAAACTTGGTTGTGATCTCTCAGCTGGCTCACATTCCAGAGGATAAAGACCATCAAGTTCGAAAACTGGCCACTCAGTTACTTGTAGACCTTGCTGAAGGCTGCAACACACATCACTTTAACAGCTTGCTTGATATCATAGAAAAGGTGAGGTGGCTTTTGGTCAGCTGTCAGAAGCATCACACCAGCTTTAGGCAGATCCCCCTGCTGTGGCTGAGACTAAACTGTGAATGTCATCACTTGCATAGGTCAAAATCGCTGGGTTTTGTGGGATGCAGATGTGGAGCACATAGAGGAATGGAACTTTAAAAACCTTATCAGCACCCATCCAAGCTAGGATGGGTGACAGGGCTTGCAGAATTTCTGGCAAGGATAACTTGCTGTAGTCTTGTTTGACCTCCCAGGATAGAATTACAGAGAAGTTGTGTTGTAGATCTCAGGTGTTTTGCTTTTTTTTTTTAACAAGGTGGCTGCGCATTCTCTCTCATCTCCATCTGAGCTGGAAGAAAGGGATTTGCTATCATATTCAGCTTCTTTGGAGGACGTGAAGACAGCAGTTCTTGGACTTCTGATAATTCTTCAGGTAAATCTGGAAGAGCATTAAACAGATCCGCTTCCAAATAGCCTTTTACCGGACTCCTGCTTTTTTAGATAACTATTCTGTTATTAAATGCTCTGTCTTTTGTTTTATCACTTAGTATTTAACTCTTTTGGTCATTTCTTTTGTTTTTGGGTATTGTGTGACTGTTTGCTAGATGTTTTATTTTATTTCCATTGTACAGCAAATACACGTACATTTTCTTGTGTGGAGGGCAGATGTGTTCATAAATTGTAGTAGAAGTGGAGTGACTCATAACCTTGAATTGTGTTTGGATAGCATGTCCTGAGATGCATCTTAAGCAGTTGTGAAGAGCTAGTTGTTCTGGACTCTGCAGAAATCAGTTATTGTTCTGGAGTCTGCAGCAGTTCTGATCAGAAATGTCCTTTTATCTTGCTTTCAGGAGCCAGAATTAGCGACGTTGTTCTTGAATTCTCAGTGCAGATACGCATTTCTGAATAACTAGCATCAGTCTGCCTTTAGATTGTGTTTCTGTTCCTCTGTAGACAAAACTCTACAGCTTACCTTCCAGCCATGCCATGCGGGTGTACGAGATGCTGATTCACCACATCCAGCGCCACTATATGTATGCATACAGCCTTGCTGTTGCTAGCAGCATCAGATTGCAGGTATGAGCAGTAACCCATGCATGCTGTCTCTGAAAATCTTGGGAGGCAGGTGGAAAATGTGTTCTGTAGAGCTTGTCAGAAGCAAAATAAAGTGTTTCTTGGCTGGTACATGTACAGAACTAGTCACAGCATCTGGAAAAAAATCCATTTGTGTATACCTATTGGGGGGAGTTGGGAGAATATTCCACTGGCCTGAGTTTTCAGTTACTCCAGTGTCTTCTCTGTTGCAGGTATTTGATTTCCTCTTGATGCTTCGAGCTGACTCCCTCCACCGTCTTGGCCTTTCTAACAAAGATGGAGCAGTGAGATTCAGCCCTTACTGTCTGTGTGATTTTGTGTAGGTTTCTCATAGCATTTAGTGAAAGCTGTTTTCAGAACTATTCTACATTCTTGCATGTGTTTGATGATTTGTCTTCAGTTTGTCCGAATCATTCAAATCCTGATGAATCTGTTATGAGACAATTCTATAGTTACAGCTTAGAATGGTCCCAGCTAATAACTATATGCTCCTTCAAACCATTTCTCTGTAGAGCCCTCAGTCTTACACATGGAATTTCTGTTTCTGTCACAAAAACTTAACAAAAACATTTGCAGTTTCCTGCCTGGAACCCATTCTTACATTGAGATTTGATTCAATGATTTGTACAGATCTGTCTATTCCAGTTTTATAGCTTGCTCTGATGTTTTTTGTGTAACATACCACGGAGTATGTTAAAGAGTACATCACTAAAATTCCCAATGTTCTGTTCTTAATTTTACCTTACGTTATTTTTCCGCCTTCCTGTATTGTAGAGAAGCAGAGAAGAGAGCTTCTGAGAAAAAGCCTACTGGTACACTCTCTCCACCTTCAGGAAGTCCCAGTGTGCCTTCCCAGAACAGCACCATTCGAATAGGGCATTTGCCATACTCAATGGTCTTTGGTGTTCTTCTGCAGTGCTTGAAGCAAGTATGTCTACTTTTAATGACAGTTGTCATCTTTGTGTGAAATATGACAGATTTAAAGGTCTGGCTAGAGAAAATGTCCCTGAGTATGTAAATAATGCCTGAGAAGCAAGATCCTCCTTCATGGGCATCTGTGTGTAACTGTACAACATTACAACCACCAGTGGGAGCACTAGTTCAGCTCTCCAGAAGTTCAACAAGGCTTTCATTGCATGCTGTTTCTCATTGGACAAAGGCAAAAATGTGTTTGTTAAACAAAGATGAAAGAATTCATCCTATTTCTGAAAGGGCATTTGGAACTGTAAATGTAAATTACTTGTTAATGTTGGATTTGGATAGAGCTGCGTTCTCAAAGGCTAATTTGTACTAGCAGTTAGGGTTGAACTCTGGCTCTGTGTAGTTGAGCTCTGTTGAGTCTGGATACAAGTCATCTTTCAGCATGCAGTGCCAATATTGCACCTAGAGCTGGATGAGAGACAGGAAGTAACATGTGACAGTTAAATGTCATTTTTTTGTGTGTAGCTACCATGCCAAGACATACATCTGCCTAGGAAATGGCATATTGTCTGAAATTTGATGAGTCTTACTTTCAAGCGGAAGGAAAATCATCCAAAAATGTTCCACCCAAACTCTCTTTCTTTCCAGGAGACAGACTGGAAGGTATTGAAGTTGGTCCTCAACAAACTACCAGAATCCCTCCGCTATAAAGTGCTGTTTTTAACCTCTCCTTGTAACATAGACCTCCTGGCATCTGCACTGAGCTACATGGTAATGCCATTCACCCTATAGATGTGTAATTACCAGGTTCTTTATTTACTCATCACTTTTTTTGACATTGTTTTTTTTTTTTTGTTTGCTTGTTTTGCTTCAGTGTAGCAGTAACAAGATTATCATGCCTGTTGCCAGTCCTTGCTCACCTTCTCTTTTTGTGGGGATTGTTTTAGGTGTTTAGTAATTGGTGTTTTTCTTCTCTATGTATGTACTGTATATGTATACAAGTTCAAAGGCAGCTGTGGGCTATGCTTTTCCACTGTCTTATAGAGAGTATTCTTAATGTAAGATATTCTAACTTAATGTATGATGCATCAGCTCACAGACAAGAAGACAACCGACAGGCTCCATGGTACCCCAGAAGGCTTTTCCCGCACCGATTTGCACCTGGCTGTAGTTCCAGTACTGACAGCATTGATATCTTATCATAATTATCTGGACAAAGCTAAACAGGTACAGGAAATGCCAGAGAATGTGTTGGGAGCAGGGGCTGGGCCTCTACTGTAGAGCATTTTCTTTCTTTTTTTACTTTCCTAATTTGTGCAGCAGTCACTGTCTGGTTAGTTGGTTTTACCATTGTCCATCCATACCTGTTCCACTGCTCACTCACTGCTGAGTGACTGCCTTCAGCTGGAAGACCTGGTAAATGTAAAAACTGAACAGAAAGACAGTATTTTCCATAAGAAGACTCTGTCTGTGTTTGGTTAGAAGCTTAAGTAATAAGCTTCTTTAGTGCATTTTCGATAGCATGTGTCATACAGGCATCGCAGTAGTGATGCCTTGTAAGTTATTTTGAAATGCTAATTGAAATCAGAAGATAGGACGTTGCAGGTTTTCTCTTTATTATGACTTTTTTCCTGTTGTTTTCCAGCGTGAAATCGTGTACTGCCTGGAACACGGGCTCATCTATCGCTGTGCAAACCAGTGTGTTGTGGCACTCTCTGTCTGCAGCGTTGAGATGCCCGACATCATCATAAAGGCACTTCCTGTCTTAATAGTCAAATTAACCCACATATCTGCTACAGCCAATATGGCAATCCCTCTCTTAGAATTTCTTTCAAGTAAGTTGTAAGGTTCTTCTGTGCTTGATCTTGCAGTTATAAATGTTTAGACCTGAGTGTGACCGTTTTGATTGCATTAGTCAAATGCATCGTGCTGTGAGGGTTTATTGTTCTTTTGGTAATGCCTTTTCACTGTCCTCAGAATGTAAATTTTTTATTATCTCATTTGTTAATGTTTTTAAGACACTTGCTCATACTTACAGTGCAGCTGTAGAGTGGTGGGAAATAGAAAGCTGTTTTCCCTCCCTTGTTGTTTATAACTTAAGCAGTGTGAAATTACTGTGATGTTAACCATGATAACTTCTGTGGTCAGCTGATGATTTAGAAGAAACAAAACAATTCAAATTAAGCTGAATTCTGGTACTGAATAGCTCATGTTCAGAACTCACCTGTTTTGGTTTTCTTCTTGAACCATTCTAGCTCTAGCAAGGCTGCCTCACCTCTACAGGAACTTTGCTGCAGAGCAGTATGCCAGTGTGTTTGCCATCTCCCTGCCATACACAAACCCTTCTAAGTAAGTCTGTAGCAAATCTGCTTCATCCCCTACCTCACCTGTAAAGCAAAGAGGATAAGATAGGCTTTTCTGTAGCACTTGAGTCAAGATTATTTATGGAATATTGCTCATTTTACATCTCCAAGCCTTTTCTGAAGGTGGACCATAATCACCTGGGACACAATGTCTGTTTTTCTTAAATAGAAGTCTGCTTTTCTCTCTTTTTTTTTTTTAAACTTACAGCAGGTAAAGAAACAGTTGTATTTCTTGGACAGACAAGTTCCTGTGTTCAGTTCTGGAATGATATCATGTTGCAACATTAAACTATGGTTTTTGCTTTTCTAGGTTTAACCAGTACATTGTTTGCCTGGCCCACCATGTGATAGCTATGTGGTTCATTCGGTGTCGCCTTCCCTTCCGAAAGGACTTTGTTCCCTATATTACAAAGGTAATGGATACTACTGAGTCAAACAGCATGCAGTAAAAATGGTGACTTATACTGGTTCAAGAAGTATAATGGTTCTGCATGAAGCCAGCACCTTTTTCAAAACCACGTGCAAGTTCTTGTGCATTATTAGCCCATGATTGCAGTCTTTCAGCTGCAAGCCCTACTCATTCAAACTTGTATCTGTTTGTCTCAATTGACAGGGTTTGCGTTCCAATGTGCTGCTCTCCTTTGATGACACACCTGAGAAGGACAGTTTCAGGGCTCGTAGTACAAGCCTCAATGAGAGGCCAAAAAGGTAAATGATATTAGATTCCAGCAGGGTCCTGTGTTCCTTGGATAGTGCTCACACCCTTCCCTGAGTTTATTCTGAAGGAGGCTGTCTAGTTATCCGAAGTATGACTGCATTTAAGCAAGCCAAGTAAACCTCTTTAGGGAATTGGTAAAAGACAAACTGAGGTTGGTAAGAAATTGAACTCAAACCAAGCTGGCAGTCTGATACTACGTATGAAAGTGTTGCTGTCTGTTCTGTAAGTTTTTATAGTTAAGTGTGATTTTTTTTTATCGTTAGTTTTTGGAAAGCAGCAGTTCTTTCAGGTACAGTGCTACCAGGGGTGAGAAGGTAATACCAGAAGTAATAAAGCACCGTATTTATAGTGTTAACTTTTTTTAGTAACTGATTGGCAGTGACTATTTTAAATGATTGCCAAGGAAATTATTGTGATTAGTATAAACTGAGATAACAGAACCTGTGTTTTTCCATATGGATATCTATTAAGCTATTGTACATGGCTAAATGACTGAAGGCAGATAGCTGCCTTGTGTATGTGTGATTAGCTTGTTATTTTATTTGAATTTTGAAACCAGTATATCAGTTTGAAGCAAAACCTGATATCTTTAGAATTCAGAACGTACCTTGCCAGTAGTCCTTCAAAGTAACATTTGCAAAGATAGAAAAATATTGCTTGGAAGGCATTGTGGGTCCCTTCCAACTTGGGTTACTCCATGTTTCTGTTATTCTAAGGCATTCAAGATTTCTCCAATGTCCTTTTACCTGTAGGACATACCTAAATTGGTTCACTTAACTTGCTTCAGTGTTAATGTGCAGTAAGCATACAGTGGCATTTGAACCCTGGGGAAAGTGCCTCTACTTTAACTGCAAGGCTCAGTAGTGTCTTGCAATGAAGAAACACCACCCCTTCCCTAATGCTATAGCTGTAAACCCTGTTTTGTGTTTCATCTCTCCCATCTCCTCTTCTGTCATTCAGAAATTTGGAAGAGAAGCCTTTTGACAGTCGTCTCTCAAATTAGAATTTCAACTAATCTTTTTTTTTTCCCTCCAAAAACCTGTTAAATTCAACTAGGTTGGAATACTACTGTATCTAAAGGTTTTTGCTAGCTGCTGGATCGCCTCCCCAGAAATCTCTGCTAAACAGTGTGAGCTCAGGCAGCAACTGAAACACCAGAATGGCAGTGATGTCTCTGAGTCTGAGTTTGGATTCTGTTCAAATGGGAAAAGAAATAGCTTTGAGTAGATACCTGTTTCCTTGCTTCAGAAACCTTGTGTGCTTGGTTTTTGCTCTGTAAGCCCAAAGAATAAGCATTTCTTTGCTTTAAGTAAGGTGCTGTGTGTTGACAGAAACAAAGATCCCAACACTTCCCATGGCTGCTGAATGGCATGATGTTGGTGTGGGTGACAAGCTCGATATGGGCTTCTGCTCTCTGTGGTTACATCTCCAGTTGTGGCCAAAATCTCTGTCAGAGATTGGTAGGAGGAGGAGGAGGAGAAATAAATTGTAATCCATCCAAGTGGCTGTGTAATAATCCACTGAAAGGACAGCAAATAAATCATGTTTAGGAATGTTAATTGGGCCTCTGTATTTTATGTACAGTGATGTAAACCGCTGGCCCAGCTGTTATGTCCAGATTAGTACTCAGCAAGGCATGTGTCTCAGCTGTGACTGATTGAAGTGCCTCTTAGGTGTTAATTGCTGTCATCTCCCAGGTGTGCTTAGCACCAGGCAGAGTGAAGGCTTATCTTCTTTCTGTTTCAGTTGCAAGTCAAGTAGGTTACTTGTGTGCCACCTGCAATAAGATAGCTTGTGGGACAGAGAAGTACCATGCATCAGCAGCCAAGGGAGTGTTTGTCCTTCTCCCTCCATCCACACTGTATAAGAAGTGTCGGTTTCCTTCAGGAGGGCTGAATATCCCCCAAGGTCTGAGCCAGGGGATGCCTCTCTCTGATCCTGGGACATTTTTGTGGTTCAGCTGAAGCTCAAACTCAGAGCAGGCCTAACAACATAGGGATGGGCAGACAGATATCTTTCATTTTAAGATCTGCAGATCTTTGTGGAAGTGTTTGTGGTGTCCTGAAGCAGTGAGGTGAGGTAGGAGGAGGTGGTTGAACTGCACAAAACTTCTTGGACTTGAGAAATTTATGCTAAATGAGCATTCCAATGCTTTTGCCTTTGTTTAACAGTTCAGTATTCCAACTGTCATTTCAATCAGCTTTTTTTTTTTGTTTTAACTTGTACTAATTTCATTTGTTTCGTAGCACATTTAAAATCTTGTTTTCAAAATGTGGTTTGTCTTTTTAAAGCTTTCAGCTCTGCTTGTTTGTACATTTTAATTTTTATTTTCCTTTTTTGGCATTTGTTTTATTTTACATCACCCTCCGGGATCCCCCAATATTGACCCTGTGACCTGTGACCTTTCAACCTACATCCCTACAATGATTTCCTCCCTTCCTGTGACCTCTTTTGGGGCTTGGTGCTTCTCCACCTAGTAGTTTAAGACTAGCAAAAAATGCAAAGCAAGGCTTGAATAACTCTCCTCCAGTGAAAGAGCTGAAAGAACCCTCTGCAGTTGATGCCTTCCGATCCCGCAGCATCAGTGTGTCTGAACATGTGGTCCGCAGGTAGAGGCACTTTAAATGGGGAGAATCCAAGAGCAATTCAGCACTTGGAAATTTTACTGCAAGGGCGGGTGGAAGCAGGGTGGATTTGCATGTGGGATGCTTGCATGACTCTGCAATACAAACCTGATCTTAGCTACAGGCTGGTTTCTGTAAAGGTATTGTGGATAAGCCATGGCTTCCTAGTGCTGGCTGTCGAGTGGTCGCATCACCCCGTGTTGTGTGTGCCTGCTTTCCCCGTGCTCTGGTGTTTTAGGAACAAATCTGTCTATTTGTAAAGTAAAGATGGAAAGGAAAAAGGAAAAAGAAAAACGTTGCATTCTGTGCAAGTGAATGAAAATCATGGTTAAACTATAGCTTTCGAAGCGGTGATGCCACAGCAGGGGCTTTTGGTACTCTGCTAACTAGTTTACAGGCCCTCCTCCCAAACTGAGAGCAGTAGTTTGTTCCTTGACAGAGAGAGCTGACTGAAGTATTTTGACCAGAATATGAGGTAATAAAAACCTTTTCATTTGTGTCTCCATAGAGCAGTTGAAGGTGAACCGTACTCTTAGAACGCTTAGCCAATATGAAGCTACTGCTTTCATTGCTAAAGAAAACAAGTTTTAATCACAAAAGTTGATTTTTCTCCCATGAAAGATGAAATGGCTTATGCTAATTTTTTTAAACCCATTTCTGGATCATTTCCCTTGAGTGTTAAGATTCTGTCAGTAATACATTGGTTGGAAATCTGAGCCTAAAGTTTTGTGCCTCAACCCGTAAGGATTCCTGTCCACAGAACTTCATTGCCTGTATTTGTGCTTTTGACTATGTGTCAGTCAAGAGAAATGTGCTGAAGTAGCTGGATTGTGAATATAATTCTGGCACTTACTTCTCTGATGTCCTCATTAAACTATTAGGTGATTTTCTTCTGTTTTTATTTAAATTGTAGTGACTAAAAGTTCAGACATTTAACCTTAGTGATACCAAGTAAGTTATTGTGTTGCAAAAATTTGGCTGCATCTCAGCGTAGCTTTTCTTATAATGGCACAACGATTTCTTGTTATAAAAACATCCAATGCAAGTTTTTTAAACTGTGTTGCTGATTTTGTTAATTCAAAAGCAGAATTGCTGTCTACTCTTCTGCCAACGTCTTGTTCGGAGTGCAATCTTTTTCTATTTCAGATTACATTTGATTTTATATATGAATTGAACTAGTTTGGAGAAAAAAGTTCAGTACATGAAAGAGCTGCAGCAGAGGAAAAAGGAAACAACAATGTTATAAAGTTAAGTCTAGAAAGATGCAGTTTGTGGCTCGTGGGCAACACACTGCCTGGGGAACTCAGCAGGTTGCTTATGTCACAGGACGCTTGCCTTAACTCACTGTAGAATAGTGAACTCCAAGCATGGTGCTGCACTCACTGGTTGCTTGGTGTCCTTGCCCATGGGCCTCCTGACATCTGAGAGAACTGGCCTGACTCAGTAGAATCATTTAAATGTTTCTCAGTCTCAAGATAAAATACACGTTCTCCAGTAAAAATCTAGAAAGCACAACATGAGGGTGATCCAAAAGTACTTTGTTTACATCCTGGGTTTACTGTCTGGCACTTCTCTGTTGGGGCACATGCATGTATTGCAGGTGGTTCTGCGTCCTTCTGTCTGCTGGGTGATGGGGACAAATATTTTGCAGTGTGATCTGTCAGCTGGAAATGTTCTCTTCCAGTCGGATACAGACATCCATCACTAGTTCCAGCTTGGGCTCTGCAGATGAAAATTCAATGGCTCAGGCTGATGATAACTTAAAAAATCTCCATCTGGAACTCACTGAGACTTGTCTGGATATGATGGCCCGATACGTCTTCTCCAACTTCACCGCTGTGCCTAAGAGGTAGGGGTCAGTGATGGGAGGGGTGGTGTGGTTTGAAGGTGATGTTTCATCTTATCAGTGGGAAAACTGCTGTGACACCCTTGAGATTGTGACAGGCCCATTTCTTTCAGATTCAGTCAAGCCAGATAGAAAGTTTGATGAGAGTAGTCCATTCTAGCTTAATCTTGTCTTGAGCCTTCAGCCATCCAGGCGATGCTCTGAAGGTTGTGTAGCCCCCAGAGGCATGCTGGTTTTGAGCACTGATTTGCTCCCTGGCCTTGCTGAGTAGTCACAGTCTTTGCTACAGAGCTGAGTATCACGTCAGCTGGCTTCAAATCAAGGGCACTTTTTTTTATTGTGTTAAACCCTCCCAGGGAGGCACATAGCTCAGACAAACCCTAACTTCTCTGTAATTTGTGTCCAGGATTGTAGTAGTAGTACTACTCTCTTCTGCTATTAAAGTCAGATCATCCATTATTCTGATGGATAATGTGTTAATTGACTGAGGAGTACTAAAAATGCCGTAAAAAGGAGGAAAGCAGACATATCTCCTACACAGAGGAAATCAGCTGTGTAGGCTCTGTAGTCTGAGAGCTGCACTCGTCACAAATGTGTTTCTAGGTCTCCTGTGGGTGAGTTTCTGTTGGCTGGAGGAAGGACAAAAACATGGCTGGTTGGCAACAAGCTGGTGACCATCACTACAAGTGTCGGAACAGGGACAAGGTCCTTGCTTGGCCTAGACTCTGGAGATCTCCAAAGCAGCACAGAATCAGGGTAATTACTGTTCCCAGATCTAAAAATTTCTACCTAACAAAGGCATGGTTAACCACCATCACTGTTTTGTTATTTTTTTTAAAGGTTTTCCTCTTATTGCAAGGGGACTGTTCTATTTGTTCATCATGACCAACTCCTCTCAGTATCACTGATATCTTCTTTTTCCCCAGCTCAGACCCTGTTTTGCAAGTGAGACAAACTAAAGAAGCTCCAGCAAAACTCGAATCTCAAGCTGGGCAGCAGGTTTGCAGAAGCTCTCGCAACAGAGTCAGATCCATGTCTGGTAAATTCCCATCCTGGCGTCTAACTGCTGGCCTCTGTGTTGCAGGCTTAAGTGTTCTAGCACCTACTGCTAAACTCATTTGAGAATCTGAACCTGTCTGGTATTTAATAGTGAGCAGGTAGCAGCAGCTGTTGGCCTCAGTAGTGCTGGTATTTTTCCTGCTTGCCTTCCTCTCAGAAAAATTGGCAGTAGTTTAAGTCTCACTGCAATAGCATTTGCAATGAGAATTGCCTAGATCTGTCAGACCTTATTGTTTATAAGAAACAGATGCAAGGTAAAGCTCTCCTAGGTTCCCAATATTAAGAGCAAAACTGCTAGAGGATCTCAACAGACTTACTATTTCTCTGATATTTTTAGTATTTACTATGCTAGTAAGTAATTATTGTAAATATTTTTAGTATCAGCTAAACATGGCTCTCCTGTGCCTGTCTTCCTAGGTGGTCATGCCTTACGTGTTGGTGCCTTAGACAGCACAGCCTCCCACTTTCCTGGTGGCTTGACTTCCCAAGGGACACAGAGTCCTCCTGCTCCTGCATCTCGGTCAGAGAAGACTAATCCTGCTCCACAGACACCTCTGCAGAAAGAAAAAGCAAACTTAGCTGCATATGTCCCTCTGCTGACACAGGGCTGGGCAGAAATCCTTGTGCGCAGACCCACAGGTATCGTGATCTGGGTGTGGAATGAGCTCTTCTGACTTGCTGAGAAACTCGACCCTGGATGAAAAGGAAAAAATCCTTTTTCAGTGCAAATGGATCACTTTGATTGCTTACTGAGTCTTTAAAGCAATTTATCTGATACTTGATTCTTTGAAACCACTCTTGTTTTTAACTCCAAAAGACCTTGAGAAGATTGGAGTGAAAATTTATAATTATAGTTTATGAACTACTGCAGAAGTTGTGTATCCTGGTTTATCTGGCTCTAAGTAAGGCTGATACTGACACTGGTGTGTGTGTGATCTTTCTTGAAAATCTGTCTACGGTGTGTTTCATCTTCCCATGCTGGAGTTAAGATGATTGAAGCTTATGGCTAGAGCAGTTGCAGAGTTGAGTCTGCTGTTAGAGAAGGACTGATGACAGATATTGAAGTTCAAAATTCTTGAATACTGCAGTACGTTAACTGGGAATTGTCAGTTTCAGCTGGGAGGCCCTTTCTGGCAAAATAACTGACTCAGTATCATTAATTAAAATACCTGAGTATTTCACTTTTGAGAACCTGCTGTGGTAATGAGTTTACCAAGGATGTTTTTGAAGAGCTAGGGTGAAGGATGAAGTACTGAGAGCTCCATATGGAAAATAAGAAGTCAGTTGAGGGATCCTGCCAAACGTCAGAGAAACTCAGAACTTTGACTGTTTGGATTTTATTTACATAATCCAAAACAATTTGTGCTTTTTTTTTTTTTTCCTTCCCAATGTGAGTTGTGAACTTCCTGGAATTACTCAGCACCCTTCCCTGTTTGTCTTCATCAGGTAACACAAGCTGGCTAATGAGTCTGGAGAACCCACTCAGTCCCTTTTCTTCAGACATTAACAATATGCCTCTGCAAGAGCTGTCCAATGCACTCATGGCTGCGGAGCGTTTTAAAGAGCACCGAGAAACAGCTCTCTACAAGTCCCTGTCTGTCCCCTCCTCCACCTTGGCCACTGGGACAGCCAAGCCTTCGCTTCTCCAACGTTCCAACACAGGTGAGAGATGTCAAGGCAGCTTTGTGTCTAGCATAGCTGCCACTAGGCTGTTTCACATCTGTCGAATTTACTGCAGATCTTCCTGAACAGTAAGTTAGTAGCTTGAGAAGTAACACAGATGAGAAGGGGAATGAATTCTTCTCCATGGGAGTTTGCAATGCGACATTCCCTTCCTCCTTGCTTCTGATGTTCCATCAGAAAAGCATCTCTCATCCTTGAAGAAAGAGGGGAGCAGTGGAGCTTCTTTGGAGGAGTAATATCTTCCATGATAACTGCTTGCCAAATGGAAATGAACAAAGTCAGGGATCTTTTGCCTTTCTTATTTGTTTGGGATTGATCTGAGCATCCCATATTTGGATAGACCTTCCCATGCAACACATCCGTTTGTGTTCAGTTTAAGAGTTTTTTGGGAGCACTGGCAGTGCTAGGTTCATAGCAAGATGGTCTATGCAGCCTTGCCAGCTAGGGTCAGTTCCCACTGGCTTTTACATGTGATAGTAGAATGCCAATGCTGTGGTATATAGGCCTTGTGAGTTAAAAGAAGCACCTAATTGCCATTCCTTTGGCAATCTGTGAGAAAGTCTTCTGGGCCTTATTCTTCTTAACTCAACTTCTGCAGCAGACAGCCAGCTGCGACAAGTCAGGTGAATGCTCTGAAGGTGTTTTACTGTCAGACTGTCATGACTTAACCTTAAGAGGTTAGGTCATTCCTGCTCCTCAGACTTTTCTGTGCATTTAAAAGCGATCGTTTACCAAAAGCACATAGCTCAGGAAAAGCTCACGCTGGTTTTCTGTGTGTGATAGGGTATCACTGAGCAATTTTCTATTTCTGTAACTCAAAAGATGCATTTTCCAAAGAGAGCAGTTTGAGTCTGCATTGTTTGGATGTGTTTATGCCTTCTTATTCGTGTTGAAACCTTGCACCCTTGAAGTATCCCTTTGCATCTAGTGAGCTTATCCCAGCTTGTTCTTTCCTTTGTTTTTTTTAATTTTATTTTTTTATTTTTATTTTTAAATAGGCTCTTGGTTACATTTTAAACTCTGTGCTTTTTAATTTTTTTTTTTTCATATAGTCTCTCCTTCCTTTTGATGTAGCTGCTCACTTGATTTCCCTTTGCAGTGGCCTCTTTCTCTTCCATGTACCAGTCCAGTTGTCAAGGGAAGTTGCACAGGAGCATATCCTGGGCAGGTATATTTATATATCTTTAAGGAAAAAAAAAAAAGTATTGCCATAGAAGAACACCTCTGATTCATAGAAAATATATCCCTCATACTTCATTTTTCCCTTCCATGTCTCCTGTCTGTTCCCGGTCTCATTACTCTCAACAAATGGGATCCTGACTAGCATGAAGAAGTCCAAGCCAGATGCAACATTTGCAAGTGCAGATGATTTCTTAAAAATAACTTCTCTTTTAGCTGAGGTGGATTGTGAGTAGTTGTGAGGCGCAGAGTTCAGTGGCCTCTCAATTAACCATTTATTTTCAGCTTCATTTTACAATTGGCTTTATGTTTTGCTAAAGGTGAAAGCTCTCACTTCTGAGAATAACGTGTAGTATCCAACGGGACAAACTACCCAGAAATCAAGTCCCATACTACTCAGTCCAAAATGGGACACAGAATCTGATAAAAGAAGCTGATGTACGTGTGTGTACATACATTTCCTCCTGCCTTCTTTCCTTCAGTGGAAAATTCTCTGTAGAGCACCAGGGTATTCTTAACTGCTATTGTTTTTTGACTTAGGCCTCTTAAAGCATCGTAGTGATGCTGCAGTAAAATATTTTTCTGTATTTTTCCTCTGCTCATATTGTTCCCACCTATAGTATAATTAGTGAGTGCTCACATTATTTGAAAACACTAGCAATCTTGGCAGTAATGCAAGAGCTAGAGGAGCCTGGAAATGCTGGGTGTGTGCAGGTGTGTTCTGGCTTGGACAGCTAACCAGATCAGCACGTGTTTTGGTTGTTGGTTTTTGTTTGTTTGGTTTTTTTAGAAGGTATGTGTGTGCAATGCTAACTCTTAATTGCTTCTTTGAAATAACTTTGGTCCTGCGAGCTGAAATCAATCCAGGAAAAGCTGCTTTAGTGATTTCTTTTTTTTATTTTAATGTTTTGCTGATTTTTTTTTTTAATTTTTTGTGTGTGCTTTTTTTTTTTTTTTAATTTGGAAAACAAATCTTGGCCTTTCAGATTGGTCCTCCAGTCCCTTGTGTGCGTAATGGAAAGCCTCCTGTTCTCCAGCCTTTTCCTCAGGACAAAAAACAAGGCCAGGAGGAGCCCTTGGTCACACTCAGCCCTATGGTCAGGGCACAGCCTGGAGTAGCTGCAAGGTTAAATCTGCAAGTGCTTCCTCCACCGCAGACAGGGCTTCCAAGGAGCTTTCTTGTCAGTGTGGTTTGTTAACCATTTGTCTGATCAGATGCCACGTGCAGGTTTCCCAGTATTGCTGCAGTGCATGTTTTACTCTTGCTCTCTTGTCCTTTCACATGTCTAGGGCTGAATTAGTTTGCTTCTACTGAGACATACTAGGAAAACTGCCAAACTGCAAGGAAATGGCTCCTAGGAAAATTTCTTACCTCCTTCTAGGCCACTACAAGGCACAGGAGTGTACAAGAAAAACTTGTATTTTGCATACTTGCATAGAACTGATGTCTTCATTGCCTGGATGATGATGAACTTTTAATACCAGTCTTGTATTTTCTTGCACCTCTGTAGTTCCTGTGTGTCCTGATAGCTGAGCATTGATGTACAAGGTCCCATTTCCTTCATTCTGTCCCCTACTTGTTCATCAGTGACAATTGGAAACAACTGCACTTGTTTTGTCAAAAGCAGCTGCAGCCCTTTTCTATGAGGGTAAAGATGATCAGTGATTCTGTACAAAAGGGAAAGCAGGAGCAAGTGTGATAAAACATGAAATCAAAGAACCAGACCACTCATTCCATATGGCCTTCCATTGAGATCCCGTAGGGAAAAGGCTGGTGCTTGAGAGGAAAGGATGGGGGCCTGCAGGTCCGTGCCTCTGTGCAGACTTCAGTTCTTCTGCATTGTGTCTTGGTAGAGTCTGCGGTCGTGCTGGAGGAAGGGAGCCCCTTGGAAATGGAGCTGAAGGAAACCGAGTCCCCAGCTGAGTCTCCAGAGAGTGAGGATTTTGAGACGTCGTGTTCTGAGCAGGTCCTGAGTGAGGAAAGGTTTGGTAAAGCCCAGGAGTCTTACAGCAGGGTAAGCAGCAGCTGTGGCTCTGTTCTCAGAAAGGTATGAGAGGTGTCTGTGCTCTGCGTGGGGCTGCCTCAGTGTCACTGTTGTCAGTTGCTACTCTGTGAATTAGGAAAAACGTTTGTATTTGTTTCTTCTTCCTTAAGTCGTCCTCAACCTCTAGCCAAGATGAAAAATCTCTGAAGTCAGACGAGCTGGTGGAGGGCGGTATTCCCATCGGGAGAGTGCTGCCAGCAGAGGATGGCCGGGCACTGGAGGAGCTCTCCTTCCAGCCCTCCCAGCCGCTCAGCAAGTCGAGCTCTTCCCCTGAGCTGCAGACGCTGCAGGAGATCCTCAAGGATGCAAATGGCAGAGATGTAACAAGGAGGCTGAGCACGGAAGTGAAGTCTAAATCTCAGTCTGGAAACCTGGAAGGGGAGGGACTGGGCAATTGGCTGAGCAAGGGTGAGGACACCAGAGCAGCAGGCTCAGGGGGGTTGGATGGCAGTGGCCCCACCACCTCTCCACGCTCCCCATCTGGGCACCGGCCCAGGGGGTACACCATCTCTGACTCTGCCCCATCACGGAGAGGGAAGAGAATGGAGAGAGATGCCTTCAAGAGCAGAACAGCAGCCACCAATGCTGAGAAAGTACCTGGAATAAACCCAAGGTATATTGAGGAGCGTATGGACTAGATAATCTTTGAAATCTTTTCCAACCTTGATGGTTCTACAATTCTATTATGTGAAACTTGAACTACTTGTAATTGCTGTAGCCATGGCTGGATTTGTTCCAATGGGTCTGTGGGTTTTATGGGATCTACAAAACAGTAACTGGTTAAAAAAATAATTATTGCTTGTCTTCTCAGGTCTTAATATAGAGATGTTGAACCTACTATCACAAAATTAACTTTGCAATCTTAGGAAATACGTCTCCTAAGTGGTTCCCAGTTTATTCAGGTCCCCTAGAGTCAACTTTGCTGTGAACAGGATGAACTGCCCATCATGCTGCTTGGGGAATGTCATGTGCAAAATGCTATGAAAAAGGAAGATGATAGGATATGGTAGTTTGAACTTCAGGTATAGGCAGTTTTCCCCCAGATTGTCTTCTGAGACAACCTTCATCTTACGAGGGGAGGATTCATTCTGTAAAGTGCAAGTGTCTGTACAATCATTTGTGCTGTAGGCTGGAAGTACCCTGTGTAACTGTGAGGCAGCAGCGTGTTCCTGCTCCTTTGTTACAAGTGAAGATTGCCTTTTGAATGGGGAATTTATGCAGCTGCCACTGTTTGACATACTGATTGTTTTTTGTGACAGGGGTTTATTATAAGCCACAGGTAGTCCAGGCACCCATTGGCTCTAGAAGATGAGTAATACTCTGCTAGAATTTTAATTGCCCCTATTTTTAATTCTTTACAGAAAGTTCTTACATACAGCAGGTCAAAATGAACTGAAGGTTTATGGTAACAGAACATGTTTTCCCCTCTCTCCCTTAGCTTTGTGTTTTTACAATTGTACCATTCCCCGTTCTTTGGTGATGAAAACAACAAGCCCCTCCTGTTGCCAAATGAGGTATGCAAGGATTTGTATTATTTTTTAAATTCTCGTAGTTAATTTCTCTAACCCCATTAACATCCTGAAGAGGTTTTAGGGAGAGCAGTGGGTGTTCAGAGATGATTGCTTTTTAAAGATGTGACAAATGTTTTGATTGCAGACGTTTGAAAAATCGGTGCAGCTCCTGGATCAAATTCCTTCGTATGACACCCACAAGATTGCAGTGCTGTACGTTGGAGAGGGCCAGGTGAGTTGTGTGCAGATGCATTCATCATTTGATGGCTCCATCTCAGCAGAAGGGCAGGCACTGTTACTCCAACAGTGAGGTTTGTACTGCTGCTGCAGGAGCTGAGCTTTTCCTTAGTTTCTTGTGTTAGAAATCGGTGCCTGTGTGAATCCCTTCTGGGGAGGTGGTAGCCTAATCACTCATGCTGATGGAGTGCTCTTTGCATTCATTTTGGGGCTCTGCTCTCTTGTTTCCTAGAGCAACAATGAAATTGCTATTCTGTCAAATGAGCACGGCTCCTATCGCTACACCGAGTTCCTGACAGGCTTAGGGAAGCTCATTGAGCTCAAAGACTGCCAGCCAGATAAAATCTACCTCGGTGGCCTGGATGTGTGTGGGGAGGATGGACAGTTTACCTACTGCTGGCACGATGACATCATGCAAGGTATGGTATCTCCAGAAGGCAGAAGTGGAAGGATGGTCTCTTCTCATTTAAGGCTGAGCCTCTTTCTACAAACCATTTCCATTCTGAGGGTGCAGTGAGGATGACCTGGGGCTGTGTTTTCCCTCTGTTATCTCTCTGAAGTCTCTGCAAGCCATGAGTTCAGGAGAGGTGCATATGTGCCTTCTGGAAGAAGAGTCACACCAGCTGCTGGAGTAAACCATGGAAAGCAGCACCAAAGAGTGGCAGGCACAGATGTTGTGCTTCCCTGGCAGAGCTGCACACTGTTCTCTGTGCTCGGCTACTGCTGGAGCAGTCCAGAAGGACAAATGGGGACAAACCTGTCAAGGGAGCACATTGTGGTCTTTTCATTACGGTGCTGCCAATGCTACTTTGTCTTTCAGGCAAATGCTGAGAGATAAATATTACTGCTTGTAGCTAAGCTCAGCCTAAGGGTCCTTCTGTTTCCTCTTCAGCCATTTTTCACATTGCTACACTGATGCCCACGAAGGATTTGGATAAATATCGCTGTGACAAGAAGAGGCACCTTGGGAATGATTTTGTTTCTATTGTTTACAATGATTCTGGTGAGGACTTCAAACTGGGAACAATAAAGGTACAGGATTTTACCTCCAGGCCTATTATAAAACAGGCATTTGGCTGTAAAGCCTTGATCTTGTGTGTTCTTTGGGTAAACAGTGATCATGAGCTGAGGTTATTTGCCTTGGTGCATTTATGCATGGTAGCACGTGGCATTCAACAGAGTCATGATGGCTGCCAGTAACGTGTGTTTGACTGTTTATTGTTTTCCCATTAGGGTCAGTTCAATTTTGTGCACGTTATCATAACACCACTTGACTATGACTGCAACCTGGTCACGCTGCAGTGTCGAAAAGGTAGGAATCCCCCCAGCATTTCTTCTCAATCTTTCCTTTATTGCTGGTGCAATAATTGACATCACTTTGCAATGTTTTTGCATTCCAAAAGTAAATGCTTCTAAGAGAAACACTCTGAAACCAATTTGCTGCATAGCAACATCTGTATACATTCTGTATCTTCCCCTATAGAGCAGCCAGAATTTGGGTCGGATGTGTTCAGTTGCAGTGTAAGTTGTGTCTGTCACACTTGGAGCTGTAGTGCTTGATGGGAACTTCTGAGGTTCTGTGATGCAGTCCTTCAGGTTTAGTTAGTGGCAACTTTTTGTCTTCATCTTCTCCCTTAACTGACAAGAACTTTTGTTTTTCCTTTAAAATAAAGACATGGAGGGCCTTGTAGACACGAGTGTTGCTAAGATCATCTCTGACAAGAACCTACCATTCGTCGCCCGTCAGATGGCCCTGCATGCTAACGTGAGTACCCTGAGCTCCCTGGGACCTTCTGTCTTCAGCTGGCAGCTTGGTCCTTCACCAGATATGAAGGAGACAAGAAGGGTTTGCTAAAGCAAGTCAGCTTTCTGCCTCAGTTATTTCAGTCAACCTTCAAGTCAGTTACCACATGAACGGTTATAACTTAGAGCTGTATTTCAGCTGCTGTCAGACTGGACTGAAACATTCTATTAATTTTATTGCCATGGTTATGTTAATGTGCATCCTCTCTTTCCTTGCTTCTCCGCACTCTTCCCAAATCAGATGGCTTCCCAGGTTCACCACAGTCGATCCAACCCCACTGACACCTATCCATCCAAATGGATCGCTCGGCTACGGCACATCAAGCGGCTGAGGCACCGGGTAAGTGAAGGTGTCTGCTGGGATGTTCAGAACTAATCTCTGCCTTACAAAGCGTTGTTACAAATAAGGCAGATAAAATCAGCTATCAGAACTTGACAAATAAGGGGAATAAAGTGTGTATGAAGGTTAGAATCCAGCTCTTGTGGGAACAAGAAGTGTAGGGAGATAAGTCTGGACTTGCGAGCTTCCAAACAGCTCCCCTTGCAGCAACTGCACTGGGAGCCTTGATATTTGAAGACAGATCTGCTTGTGCTCAGCACTGTACTAGAGAATGTAGGAAAAGCTGTACTAAGTAACCTGTCCTGTTCTGGCCAAATAGAGTGTGAGTGTGAAAAGTTGCAGAGAACATTGAGCTCACCTATTCTCATTTGGCTTTCAGCTACGTGAAGAAACCCAGTACCAAACTCCTGGCCTTCCCCTGCAGATGCACCCATCTGCTCCAACAAAGCCTTCTCCCCAGATGGCTCAGGACCCACCACCAGCCTACGAGACCGGTCAGAGGAAGCGGCTGATCTCCTCAGTTGATGACTTCACCGAGTTTGTGTAGGTCCCTGTGGGTTGGTGTGTCTGTTCTGGGATGGGTAAGGCAGTGAATGTGTTATACCTGCGTGCTGACTCCGTGCAGCTGCATGGACATAGAGGAGAAGGATTTGGCACACACAGTGTGACTGTGCTGCTTTCAAGTGGACTCAGCACTGAACCTTACTTACCAGGAGGATTGAGTGTTTTGCTGCCTCAGCCTGCCACTGCTGTCTGATGAAAAGACTGTGTATCTCCAGCAGATGCTCCAAGAGAACCAAATCCGCATGCTTTGTTTTTATTTGGTTTGAGCTACTCTAAAGCTTCCATCTCTGGTGGGAACTTTCTTGGCAGAACCTTCTTCTGGGCTCCCACAACACCAGTGTCTGGTGGGGGTAGATGAAGTCTGATACTCTGCACTTCATCACATAGATGGAAGTTGCAAGAGCTGGGGAAATTTTCACACCTTTATTGGGAGTTAAATATGAAGTACTGAAGCTCCAGCCATTGTTTCTAAGCAACCCAGAATCTCTGCTCCTCTCCAGGCCCCGGTGCCTCTCGGCACTTGAACTCTACAGACTGTGAGGCTTCCTGCCAGTTCTGGTAAGGGTTAACCCTGGTTCTCAAGTGATCTGCAGGATGTACTGTTTAAATTACCAAGGACGATGTCTCCTTGAGTCAGTGAGCCCTTTTTGCTGCCAGAAGTAATGCAAAGCGGGGAGGTGGGAGCAACTCAGTGGAGCAGCAGAATGGCAGAGTGCTGAGACGTGAACCACTGGTGATGAATGCTCTGATCCACTGGGGGCTGACAGTGAGAACTTAGAGGCCAGGTGTGCTTTCTAGGTTCAGCTGCAGGATTTCTCCAATTGCAGCAGTGCTGAGGGTGACTCTTGTCCCTCCCTGTGCACCTAGGAAAACCCTTTTTGAAAGACTGTTGGCTTGTCCTGGTGGCATCATCTCTGAAGGAGTTTTGCCCATTGCACTAACGCATGAGGTATCTCCTCCTGGGACCTCAGCTGTTGTAGTTAGCCAGTGGTCCTCTCAGTGCAAGTGTACAGGATTGGGATTATGTAGCCCACCTTGTGCTGAGATGCTCATCAGACACTACACTACCAAACTGGAAGACATCATGTAAGCTGGACTATACTGTGAGTACTTTATCTCCTGCTTCGTGAGTAAATGGGAAGCATGGCTTTTTGATAACAGTAATTACAGAGCCCTCGCAGTGGAGCTAAATGCAGTGCAATCAGCACATGGAACTGCAAAGCGACTGCCAAGGGAGCAAAAGCAAAGCTACTAACCGAGGGCTGTTTGGGAACTCTAAGTGTATGTTGTGTTTTGAGTGTTTATATGTAAGTCCTAAAGGAAATAAAGTATTTGTATGGTCAGTGGGTTTTTGCTGGCCTGGGAAGTCTCAAATAATAATGTTGCAGGCACTTTGCCTTTGTGTTGGCTGCAGACCCTTCAGTAACGAGCTGTTGTTAATTACAGACCAAAGCTTCCCTAATAGGCCAGCTGATCCGAGTGTCCTGTATTGTGCAGATGGCTGTGACCAGAATTTCACTGACAAAAGGAACAAGGCTGGGTTGGTAGGGATGGGGTCTGGTGAGCACCATGTGCCCCAGGCCTTTCCTGAGCTCTTCCCGGCAGCGGTGCGTGGGTCACTGTGCAGCTGTGGGGCTGAGAGAGCAACAAAAGCAATGGAGCCAGTCTGTAGCAGTCAGCTTTTATTTGACCTTGTCATTTTTTTTAAGAAACATCCCCACAGTTACAAAATACGGTATTTTTCTTTGCAGTAAATGCTGACCAGATGGTAACAATTGGCATATTGGTCACAATCATCTGTTTTTTAAAACAAAAAAGCATTTATATAGAGGTCCCTCCCCCTCCCTTTTAAACTAGTGGATAGTTTTGTTTTTGTGTTTTTTTTTTTTAATTGAAGCAGCTTGATACTGTTGCATCTTTACGAGACTTAAGACAATAAATAAGAAACCATTTCTTGGTGACTACAAACACAGAAATATACATTCAGGAGTACTTATTGGTTAGGGCTGTACGTCAAGTTCGTTGCTGCTGCCAGTATAACTCCATGCTAACTGCCTGCAGCAAAGTGTGTGTCTACGTGGTACCTCAGCTGTGACAGTGAAGGAACTCTGTGAGTGTTGCTATAGTTTGTACAAATAAATGCTGCACTGAGAACTGTGATTGCTTGGAAGCTGTCAGTGGTGCCCGCTGAGCACGCGGGCCCTCAGTGAGGTGTCTGGCTTATCAAGAAACAACTGTGTGGGTTCCAGAGCTGCTCTCCATACTTCAAATGAAGGTGAGAAGTAGGGCAGTTGTCCTAGCCTGTTTCTGCTCCTCTTTGATTAGAAGAAGCACTTGGTCAGTCACGCGCATCAAATCACAATCACGCACACAAACAAAGCTAATGGGGTAAGAAACAACTGGGGAATGGAAGTCCCAGTGCCTCACTGGGGAGCATCCTTATCCAGCTCACACTCTAGCTTATTCAAGGCCATTCTGAGCACGTGGGTCCCTGCTCACTGCTGTCTCTCTCTCTCCTATTAACAACTTTATTTTTTTGAACATATTCAAACCATGCTGGGGGGAAGGGGCTGAGTCCTCTACTGTGGTTCTTGGGATAGCCCTTCTTTTGGCTCTTGGCAATGCAAGAGATTTCCAAGACCTGCTTGGTTTGCTCTCCCTCCTGAACAGTCCCTCTGGCTGCCCCTGCCTGTCCCACCCCCCATAGCGCTGGGGATGCAGCTGAGAACTGATGCCTGTAGCCATACAGGGACCAGGTGCCCTAGTTCTGCTGAGCTCCAGGCACTTCTCTGTGACCTCTTCATCCTGCCTCTTCTGTCCCTTTAGGAAAGCTTTCAGTTACTAACAACGGTTTACTTCACTCCACGCTCTACTTCCTGCTCTGAAATCTGCTTTCACCAACCTTCAAGGAGACCAACAGACCAACCTCCCTCTCATCTCCCTCTCAGGCTCCACACATTTGTTTTTGCCTATCTGCAGCCTTCTGCAACTTCCCACAGCCTCTGTCCTTCAAGCAACCAAGTTCTTCAAATGCAATTTGCACCAGTCCCAAAGTCCTCACACAGAGCACCCATGGGAAGGGACTTGGGCAGGTGCATGAAGCCAACAAAGCTTTCTGACCATCTCTCCCACAGCACAAGTGCTGGCCAGGGCCTTGCAGTGCTGTGCTTACCCACGGCACTCCCTGAAGTAACACTGCTGCTCCCTGGGGCACTGCTCTCATTGCCTTCCAAAGGTACCTTTCCAAAGGTACCCCACTGTGCTCTGCTCTGCCTGCAGGGACTGCCCCACCTCAAGAGCACACGCACCACATGCACACAGACACCCAAACCTTTATATACATGGGACATTCCCAGAAAGAAGCACTTAGTACATCCTTTAAATAACTCTGACAATAGTATTCTGTCTCCTATCTACATGTTTCAAACACGTTACCGATGCTATGAAAATATAGCAAACATACAAAAATATATACATTTAAAAAAGAAAAAAAAAACCAACAACAAAACACCATATAAATTACTTACACTATACATAATGTGAAATGGTGATGACAAAGTGAACACAGACCCTGGAGTGGCTGCCATGGGGGTTTGGGATGTCCTCTCTCTCTCTCTCTCTCCCCCAGTGCATTTGTGCTTCTCATCATGAAGATGCGGGGAGGTAACGGTGCAGCTGGGTGGCTGCATTCACTTTATCATTGCATTCTCATTTCAATTTATGATTTAAACAAACAAACAAAAAAAAAATACTGCTTTATATTGATATATTATCCTGTTCTTGTTAGATCGCATGTGTCGTCGTTAGCTGAGGAAAGCATTGTTTAAAGTGCTGGGCAGTACATACGAACAAAAGTAAACCAAAAAGAAATACATATACTTAGGTCAATACATTCCTTGGGTTAGAAAAGCCAAGCAGCCAGCAGCACACACACACACCGTGGGGTGTCTGTGTGTGGGGCGGGGGGCCGCAGCGAAGCCAGCACGGTGGCACCCCCTGCTTGGAGACAGCCAAAGGCAGCCCCGGGTATCTGCACTCCACCTGGGACAGCAGGCAGGCAGCTCACTGCAGCTTGCAATGTCATTGGTTTTAAATATTGGGTTTCTTTAAATACAAATAATACCAATTTCTGGAGGATAAAAGGAACCAATACTGGAATTAACTGATCTGGGCATAGATATCATTTTGTCTATATCTATATATAATTATGCTTAAAAAAAAAAAAAAAAAAGGTTAAATATCTTCTTGAAACCTGTAGCTTTCCTCCACAGTGTGTCTGGTCGGCAAAATCCAAGGTCAGACCTTCAAGGCAAGGGCTCAGCTCTCCCCCTTTCCCCTGGCACAGCCAGCAGGAAGGGGAGACAACCTTGGCCCACTCACCCTACACCAGTCCCCAATAAAGTGTCCTTGTGACAGCCGCCTTGCGCGGTCCATTTGCAGACGGGGCCATTTAACAAAAGAGAAACAACTTTTTAATACTGCCTTACTGTAACCGGTATTTTCTGCATGCTGACCCCAACCTGTGCAGCCTTCCCCAGCTGTCCATGAGGGAAGGCTCAGCCTCTCCCAGTGAACCTCAGCACTGGAAACCACTGGTGAGGAAATGGGCACAGCATGGAGGTTGGGGGGGCTGCACCAGCCCCGCTCCAGGCAGCAGCCCCATACACCGGCAGCAGCTCACCAGGCTCCAGGCCTGCCTGGCAGGCACAGCCCGCCTTCACAAACCTCTTCTGAGGCTCTCTCTGCCCTCTGAGGGGCACTGCTCGCCACGATGCCCCCAGCACAGCTACTTGACAGTGGGGTGGACCCTATTCTTGGCTCGGAGGGGCCGCTTCTTCTTCACAGCCGGAGCCAGAGCAGTGTGTGCTTTGTGCGGGGGGAGCGCAGAAGCCGCCATGCCGATGCCTCTGCTGGCACGGATGAGGTGGCTGGGCACAGAGCTCCTGCTGCCAGGAGAGTGGGGGGACAGTGGGAGCTGCGGGTCCGTGGTGGAGGAGGTCTCTGGTGAGGGCCCCTGCTCTGTGCTGCCCGCACAGTACCTGCTCAAGACATCTTCTGGTACCAGAGAGTGCCTCCTCTTGGAGCGGCGGCTCTGGGAGCCCTGCAGCTGGTGCTCGATGCGGTACACGTCCTCCGTCACCTGGTTGACCCGATCAAATTGGGCTAGCAGCATCTCGAAGAGGGAAAGGAGCCGCTGGAGGTCGGCGTCCACTTCTAAGCTGTCCCGGGTGCTCAGCACGAGGCTCAGCCCATCCAGCTGGCTGGAGGAGGTGGAGGCCCTGGAGCTGTCAGAGGCAGCGCTGGGAGTGGGGCCCCGGATGGATTTGGAGTCGCTGGAGTCCCGGGATGGAAGTGGTTCCATGCCTTCAAACCTCACCTTGTGGCGGAACTGGAAGGAGAGGACAGGGGACTCAGAGTTATTTCAGGAGCTGCCACATGGGAATGCTGTGCCACAGCACTGCCCTGCTTCAAATAGCCCCAGTGATGCTATTAGCCTTTCCTGGTGGGTCAGGTTATAGCTCAGACCTGGGGACAGAGCTCAAATAACATCACCTGGAATGCTGGGACTGAGAACTGGCAGCCTACATCCCTGCAGTGCCCTGCCACTTAACCAGCTCCTGGCCTCCAGGATCTGCCACTGCCAGAGGGACTGAGGCATCCAACTATCAACTGTAGTTGGAAGCAACCAGAATCAAAGCGAGATAAGGACAGTGGATGTTTCGCTGTACAAGTCTGCAGCTTAAGATGTGCTACTTGACCCCTTCTCCCAAGCTGCACTCACCTCCTTGGCTTTGCTGAAGCCCATCCACATTTTCAGCCTGCGCACAAAGAGCTCCACCATCTCATAGTCCTGGGGCTCGAAGGCAGGGCGGTACAGCTCAAAGTGCATCTCCCGGTAGCTGTAGACAAGCACCACGGTGAACAGCCTCAGCATGATCCACACCTCCAGGATGATATAGCTGGTGCAGAACAGGTAGTAGAGGCCAGAGGAGTCAGTTGGGAAGGGGTAGAGGCTCACGCTGCCCCGCACCATAGCAATGAGCAGCAGGAGGCTGCTGCCAACGCTGCGGAAGGACTCCGAGGAGGAGGAGAAAAGCTGCAAAGGGGACAGTGGAGATATGATGAAAAGGGATCCACTGATGGCACAAAATCTCTTGACACTCACTACCCCATCTTGCAAAGCATGAGCCCTGTGCAGCTCCTCAATCAGCTGTGACAGGGACTGGCCACAGATAGTGCGTGGCCAAAGCCACCATGTCCCTGAGCACTTGGCACAGGCTGGGCACTGCCCGTGCTGGGAGCCAGCTGTGACACAGTGAGGGACAAGGGGGTCACACAACTCTGGGCCTCACTGCCAACCAGCCCCTCTGCGAGACAAGACAGGGAGTGCAGGTAGTTACCAGGAAGCCAAGCTGTGCGTATGCCAGGATGAGGACCACAAAAGCCAGCCCTGCTGCAGTCAGCTCCTTCAAGGACTTCTGAAAGGTCTTCCCGAACACGGACCACTGCCTGACAAAGCGCAGCTGCTGGGCAGCCTAGGACCAAGTGAGAGGACGGTGTTACGACAGGCTCAGGTGATCTGCCCAGCACAGCAGAGCCTCTTTCTTGTTTTCCCTGCCCTGGCAGAGGAAGGGGCATTGTGGCACCACTTGCTCTCAAACTGCACACGCAGACCTCCAATGGGAAGGCAGCTACCCTAAGTCCTGTACAAGCACTATACCAGAGCCCAAGTGCTCAGGACATGGGAGTGTCCTGCCTTCAAATCCCACACCTCCATCTCAGCCCTCCTTTTACACATTTTTAAGGTTCTTGAGAGTCTTTCAAACATGTCTGAGAAATGCAAACTCTGGCAGCACAGAGGACATTCTAGTCCAAGGGCTCCTTGAGGACAAAATCATCCCATCAGCCACAGTTCTTCAAGGGAACTGAGTGCTGAGAGACTTCAGATACTCAGAGTGCTGCAGCAGAGGTGCACACATGCGTGTGACAACACTGTCCAGCACCTCTGTCTTGCTATGGATGTGGGAGAATGTGGCAGCAGCCGCTTTGCATTTATCAGTGCCTGGCACAAGAGAATCAGTTGTGCATGTTTTTACTTCAGGACTGCACAGGGATGACAACCTGGCACAGGAACAGAGCACACATCTCTGACCATATCCTGCATCCACCCAGCCCCCTCCGTACCTGCACGATCAGGAGGAAGAGGAGGGAGGCAGCCAAGGTACTGAAGACTGTGTTGAGAAAGGCCACCTGGTAGAAGTTGGTGAAGACCTTGCGGTTGTTGAGGTACTTGAGCCACTGCTGGTCAGCCAGGGTGGCTTGGCTGAGGTGCACCACCACTGTGCAGGTGGTGAGGAGGATGAAGACCCACTGGCCATAGTTGCCCCACAGGGTGAAGTAGGCCCTGCCTTCTTTCTTGATGGAAAGTGACTCAGACACCACAAAGTAGACCACAAACATCATGAGGAAGACCTGGGGGAAGAATGGAGAGGTTATCATGGAAGGAGAGGGCAATACTGGGCTGCACCAGGAGCCTTACAGCACCTTAGGACTGTAAAAGCTCCACGTACTAAGCTGAGTTCTGCAATCCTACATCTGCAGTGCACTTCTGCAAGTCTTCCCATGCCTTCCTCTCAATCACTCTGTCCTCCTCCTTCCTGTCATGGCAGCAAAGCTCCCCAGACCGCATCCAATGCAGCAGAGAGAGAGGCAGGGTGGCAATGCCCAGGGGAAGACTGCTCTGTTTGCACCTAGCCCTGGCCCAGTCAGCAGAAGGGTTAGTCTGATCCACCCAAGCACCTCTGTGCAGCGACTGAAAGGGAAGTGCCACACTCACCATCATGAGAAGCTGCAGTGTGACACCACTGCTGAGCCGCAGCAGTGGGAAGGGGCTGATGGTGACAGTGGTGACAGCCTGGCCTGCACCCAGGAACTCCAGCTGGAGGGTGATGGCAGCATGCAGGTCTACGCTGGGGTTGTACTGCATCAGCTCCACAAAGATGACCCGGCTCCTGGGGAGGTAAGAACAAGTCAGGGCCCTGGGACAATGCAGGGACAACAACCTCAGGCTTTGATGCCATCATTTTTGTAGGATCTTAGATTCTCCGTCCCTCTGGTGATGGCCTCAGCAGTGTCCCTTAAAAATCCAGGTAACAGAAAACATTCCCTTTGCCCCTGCCACACTTACATGTTGTCGATCCATGTGTGCTGCTGAAGGTAATTCAGCTGAGCCCTGCCTTCCTCCAGTGAAGTCCCCAGCTCCTGGATGTAACCACCGCTATCGTAGAAAGAGATGTAACCCCAGTACCAGACCCTGCAGAAGGAGGAGCAGCATGGAATGAGGGCTGGAGACTGTGACAGAACAGCCCCTAGCAACCACCCAGGGCACCAAATCAACTGAGTTGTTCACATGTATTTAGGACACGGTGCAGAGCTTTGGCTGCGGGCGCAGCTCCTTACCCTGTGAGGTCAGGTGGTGAATAGGACCACACAGTTGTCATGTTCACATCTGCCTGTTCCCAGCCAGCTGCATAGTCAGCAGTAGAGAAGCTGTGTGAGTCGATGCAGTTCTTCCTGGCAACTGTGCCCAGCCCGTGGAGGACGTCCTGGGCAGTGAGCTGGCAGTCAGCTGAAAGGAGACCAACATCATCACCCCATCAGCATCCGAATGCAGACAAACAGTGCAGGGTGCACAGTTGAGCTTTCACACTTAGCATCTCCCTTTTTCCCAAGCCCCCTCCATTAC